CGAGTAGAGAAGGCTTGGGAGGGTGTGAAATACTAGGGTAAACACCCATCCGATCCACCCCATCATGGTTAAGGGAGCTGGAGGGGACTGCGGGGGTTGAGAGAAATAGGCGCTAGAAGCGAGGGAATTAATTGAGGTTGAAGTTGCAGCCGTTAGGCTGAGGGCGAGGGACGGGGCCAGGCCAGCCATGTTAAACACATGCAAGATTGGAGAGCTCCGCTTTGTGTTCCACCTGGGCAGGTTTGAGGTCGAGACTAACTCAGATTGACCTAGACCAATTCGGAATTGAACCCAACCGTGGGCCCATTAGGCCTGAAGATTAAAAGCATCGTACTTTATACGGAGTGAAGTGGTAGGTGGGATATGGATGGGAGGGGAAGAGGGAGGTTCCCAGTTCCCAAGTCACCTGCTTTACGTTTAAAGGCGGAATGTGAGATTCGCATTTGTATCAGTTTATGATTTCAACTCATAATAATATTCTGTTAGCTTATTCTGTTCCAATTAATATTCTAATGTTATGATCCTATGATTCCAAAATATCCCGGTTATAACAGGCCAATCCACAGTGATGTAATTGTTTACAACATCAGGCCTTACACAGGTAACAACAACAACTTCAATTTGATATATGTTAATACTTGGAATGCGAGCAGATCTGAATCATAAAGATTTACTTTGGATGTATAAATTAGAGAAGTTGTAGATCCCATTGGTGTGTTCTATATAGCCCTTTCACGCAAGCTGTACAGCAAATATATATGCAACGTTACAGTCTCAAACCCCCGATACAACTAGAAATAAGAACAAGCTAAATAAAAAGCACTGGGCTTAGTTCTACTGCGAATAAAAATACATAGATTAATAAAAAATATACTAATCTTCATGAATTCAAGTCTCCAACATGGGAAAAAGAGTAAAGACAGCCCAAGTTGACCTTCCACATGGCAAGTTCCCGCCTTGGCTACGCTTCCAACCTTGGAAACCAATGCTCCCCCTCACTTCTTTTTGCGGATTGCTATTCTTCTTGTTTTTGGTAAACACCCTTGCCAGTGGTCTTGCGTTTCTAGATTCTGTTGTCGTCTGGGTTCTCAGAACCGCGGCAATGTTTCAGGTACCTATTCGCCCTTTTGATGATGTGTGCGCCTTGTGTTCTCACTAACACCGTCACAGCGCCTCCGCGACGCCATCGACTCTCGCATTGCAGAGGAACAAGCACGTCAAAAGTCCGCCCAAGATAACATCGAACGCTCCAATTCCGCTCGCCGTCCGCCCGGACGTAACCAGTCCCCGAGTCGGCGCGCCCGTCCTAGACGCAACACCGGTACCCCCGTTCGAGGGCCCGACCCCAAGGAGTTCGAAGCTGAATTCACCATCGGTGACGATGAATCGATCAGGTCCGGTACTCCCCGAGCAGATACACCAGAGCCTGCTTCGGAAGTAAGCGCCCCTAACGAGGGAGAGAGCCAGATGGCCGAAGGCAAACCGGCGGAGACGCCCGAGAAAGAGACAGGAGAGACGGAGACCAAGGAGGCACCTGCTGTGCTTCCACCTGATGTTCGCGCGAAATTGCGACGACTTGATAAGCTGGAGTCCCGATACCATGGTATGTACCTGCTTAACTAGACTATAGGGCACACGACTAACTGAGCATATTAGAATTGCTCAAGGCTTACCGTACCGCTCACTCGCGAGTCCTATCCATTGAACCCTTCGAAGCTGCTTTGCGCGAGAACACCCCCCTCACCTCGATTGGCGAACCCAAGGCTTTCACGGAATACCTCAACCAATCAACCCTGAAAAGCGATATGGTCATGGATGAGCTGAAGCGCGTCACCGAAGAAAGAGAAGACTTCAGGAAGAAGTTTGAAGAAGCGCAGCAGGCTACCAAGGAGGCTTTGGATGAGCTTACTGGCCTCAAAAAGGAGAAACCCCAGACGGAGACACCCATAGGGACAGACGGAACAGGGGAACAAGCTAGTGAAGAGTTCTTTTCGTTTGATAATGAAGTTCCCCGATTGGAAGGCGAACTTAAGGAGAAGAAAGAAATGGTTGAGAACCTTAAAACCGAGGTCGAAAAGCTCAAGCGCGATATGTCTGTCACCCGCGAGTCGACCGAAGGTATGGTGCAGAATTTGGAGACAGCCACCCGCGAGCTCGTCGAGCTGCGCGAAACCAAGGACAATCTAGATGCTGAGATCAAGACTCTACAAACCTCTAAGAAGGCCGATGTCGATGACCTCAAGGCGAAGCTAGCAACTGCGGAATCCTCTCTCAAATCAACCACATTGGAGGTCGAGAAGTTCAAGTCGCAGCTCAAGGAGAAGAGCGAGGAAATCGACAAGCTCCAGAAACAAGCCTCCGAAAGAACTGAGTCTGATTCGACCATCGCTGCTGAGTTGGAGACGACCAAAGAGGAAAAGAAATCCGACGAGAAAAAGCTCGTTGTGCTCCAGGGCTTAGTTGACAGTCTCCGATCTCAGCTTAAGGATACCGAATCTACCGTGTTACAATTGAAGACTGAGATCGACGAGAGGTGCGAACATTCTGCCAAACTACAAGACATTTTTGATCTTGTGGATGAGAACTTGAAAGAGAACAAGGCGTGGGTATCTACCAAGGAGAAGGTTTTCGTTGGAGAGTTGGCCGACTTCAATGAGGTCATCAAGACCCTGGTGCCGGTCAAGGAAGAGCCCAATTCTACTGTCTCTGCTCCTGTCACTACCGAAGGAGAGACACAACCTGCTCAAGCTACTGGTGGTGGCAGCAGTGGAGGAAAGAAGAAGAACAATAAGAAGAAGAAGAAGGGTGGTAAAGCAGAAGAACCTTCTAAGTCGACTGATGCAGCCCCTGCGGAGCAACCGCCCCCAGAGGCGCCTTCCACAGCTACCCAAGAGCTGGATGAACTCAAGCAAAAGTTCGAATCTCTCACCCTGCAATTATCCGAAAAGGAGGCCGCTATCGACCGTCTCAGTTCCAAGCTAAAAAGCGAGGACAATCTGAAGGAGGAAATTGAGTCCCTGCGCGATGACCTTATCAACATCGGCCAGGGGCATGTGGCAGCGAAGGACAAGATCAAGGATCTTTCAGAAGAAAGGACTTCTCTTCAAGAAACCATCAGCAAGCTCGAGAAAGAATTGGCGGAACTCCGCACCAGCAACGCTTCGACCTCAGCTGATTCGGAGAAGGTGCATACCTCACTCAAAGAGGAATTCGATAACCTCAAGGTCCGCTCGGTTACCTTGGAGACCGATCTTTCTGCCGCTCAGCAGCTGGCTGCTACTCGGTTCAAAGACCTTACAGACCTCCGTGAAACTCTTCAGAAGGTTCAGCCCGAGCTGCGCAGCCTACGTGCTGAGTCTTCGGAGTTGAAGACCCTAAAGGAGACACTCGCCAGCAAGAATTCCGACTTGAAGGTCCTCGAAGGCAAGCATGAGGATCTGTGCGCTGAGCTGAAGACATTCAAGTCGAGAATCTCAGAGCGTGACGCAGAAGTGGGCACCCTCACTAAGAAGATCCGACAGGAGACCGACAGCCGATTGAAGGCGGAGGAGTACCTTACTGTTGTCCAATCCAATCTACGCTCTGCTGAGGGCAAAAAGCAAGATGCCATCAATGCCAGAGACAGAACTGCTGCCGAACTCTCCAAGACCCAGGACGGTTTGAAGAATACTCGCACCAAGATGCGGGAGATGGATGAACATATTTCTCAGCTGAATAAGGAGCTCGGAAGCCTCCGAGAAGAGATCCAGCTAAAGACAGCTCAGTACACCAGTGCCCAGAGCTTGATGAACAGTATGCGTGATCAGACGACGGAAGTTGCAATGCAAATGAAGGAGGCCCGTGAGCGATGCGAGAGCTTGGATGAAGAATTGGCCGACGCCCACCGTCTGCTGAGCGAACGAACCCGCGAAGGCGAGACCATGCGCCGTCTGCTCAATGATATCGAGGGTCGTTCAGAGGCTAAGGTGCGAGACTTCAAGGAACGCATGGAGGCTGCTGTCGAAGAGCGAGACCGTGCCGAAGATGAAGCCAGCACCCAAGGTCGACGCCGTGCTCGCGAGATGGAAGAACTCAAGGCTAAGGTCCGTGAAGCCGAGCGCGCCCTGCGCACGGTGGAACAGGACAAGGAGGAGCTTGAACAATCCCAAAAGGACTGGCGCCGCCGTCGTGACGAGCTCGAGTCAGTATCTGAGAAGTCATCACAGGAAGTGGCAGAGATTCGACAGGCCATGGCTGGTCTACGCGATGCTCTCGACGAAAGTGAGAAGCAAGTTCGCGACCTCGAAAAGGACAAGGCAGAGCTTCGTCGTTCAGTGGAAGAGACAAACAGCCGACTGGAGAAGCTCCGAAGATCCCACAAGACGCTAGGAGAGGACGTCCGCCTGCGTGGCTCCCCGTCCGGTCGACCATCCTCGCGATCATCTACGGATTCAGGCTCTCGTCGGGCCGTCGTATCTCCTGGCAGAAGCGAGACTCCTCTTGGACCACCCAGTAATGCATCTATTGACTACATGTACTTGAAGAATGTCCTTCTCCAATTTTTGGAACAGAGGGACAAGAACTATCAGAAGCAGCTAATCCCTGTTCTAGGAATGCTGCTCCATTTCGATCGGTGAGTTTTCTACTGAACCTTCTCTGTACAATGGTCACTAACAAACTATAGAAACGATGAGCAAAAGTGGATGTCGGCCATCATGTCCAAATAATTGGCGTTTATACCCATGGGCGTTGATTGCTATCTGAGTCCCCTGCTCTGTACAATATCATTCTGTAGAGATAATAATATGTTTCCGCTATCAGACCATATCCCTTTGCCTATGAAGACAACGTTGAGATATCCTTATCCAACATTTAAAAGAGCTCGGTAATATTACCTAATCCGGTATAGCAAAATCCTGGGGTTATCGCGAAGCTTCGCCAAAACAAGCGACGCGCATATACTAGCAAGTACAAAAGTCCGAGAGAAGCAAATAAAAGACCGCTAAGCTCTGCACTTCGTCATGGATTATCTTCGTCCTCTTTCCAACGCCATGGCCGACCAACCCACCATTCGTCTCGCGACGCCCGAGGGCAAGTGCATTGACCCCAAAGCTTCTGAGTAGCTCCCCAACTAACACCAACTAGATGTCCCCTTGATCCTCCAATTCATCTGTGAACTAGCCGACTATGAAAAAGCCCTCCATGAAGTTGAAGCAACCGAAGAATCCCTCCTAGCAACCCTCTCCTTCCCTGGTACCCCGCCCAGGCGCGGGGCGGTCTATACAGCTCTCATTACCCCGCCGGCTACTGCCGACACACCGAACCCGATCCCCGTCGGCATGGCCTTGTACTTCTACAACTACTCAACCTGGAGATCTGCCCCCGGTATCTACCTCGAGGATCTGTATGTGCAGCCTAGCGCGCGGGGTAACGGGTACGGCTTCAAGTTGCTCAAGTACCTTGCCAAGCAGGTGCTGGAGGCATCGGGTCGGCGATTGGAGTGGAGCGTGCTCACATGGAACGAGCCTAGTATTAGGTTCTATGAGCAGGTTGGTGCGCGCGGTATGGACGAGTGGATGAAGATGATGGTTGAGGGGGATGCGTTGACTCGTTTGGCGGAGGATGTGTAGAGGGATGCATGGGTGCTGGGCGGGATAGGGCTGGGTTGTCTCTTTTTTTTGTACTACGAAAGGCACTGGGAACGGATCAGAGTGGTTTATTTATATTGTAGAAGCTCATTGCAGATCGAGAACAAAAGTGGGCTGGCTATACGTGCATGTTTAGCAAATATCTATGATCACAGCTATATATGGCTCAATGTCATATTTTCGAAAAAAAGAAAATTATATCCAAGTATCAGGATCCAAATCTCACGTCATTGATGTAATTGAATACAAAGAACATCCAAGTTGGGCTGTGAGGCAGATCTAGGGGCGAAGCCTTTTAGCGCCAGGTGACGGCATTGACCCGCAGATCGCCTCGATTTGCCCTGTTCCACTTTCTCTTCTTCCTTCAACACCCTCAGCGATGGCGACAATTCCAGAGAATGCCCAGGAGTATAACTTCCATGTGGACTATGTTATCCGTTACAGCTTCGGAGACGTAGGTGAGTAAAAGAGAGCTCTAGCATGTGTCGCGGGGCACATTCTAACAATTGCAGACCGATCGCAAGCAATTGAGCAGCTCGAAAAATTGCTCCAAGCACTGGCCCTAGTTGGTTTACAGGTAGAGGTACGACAGGGTGATGAGTCGTCTCTGCTCGTCTTTGCTCGAGCTTCGGAAAACCGGCTGAAACGGGCGGTCTACCGGTCGCGGTGAGTGATGATGCATGTCGTTCTATGCCAATGTGCTAATCTCGACTTTGTATATCCACAGAGTACGCGACTGGCTATATGGCATTCGCAATGATGAGCCCACACCTTCCAACTCGACCGAGCCGCAGACCGAGGCTGAGCGCCTACGAGTGATCCACCAGATGATTACACTTCCAAAGGAAGAGGGCGGTGCCGCCATTACCCCCAAGTATGGCGACTGGAAGAATGTCACTGCTATATTCCCCATTCATGATGTCGATACAAATAAAAAGTGGATACGAGACTGGAGCTCAAAGACTTTCCTCTCTGATGACGACTTGGATCAGATCCGGAACAAGTTTGGAGAAAGTGTATGTACAGCAGTAGTTGTTGTTCTTTGGCCTGGCTAACATATGAGGCAGGTTGGATTTTACTTCTCGTTCCTACAGTGTTACTTCCGATTTTTGATTTTCCCAGCTGTCTTCGGATTCTCCTGTTGGTTCCTGCTCGGCGGATATTCGATTATTTATACTGTCGTGAATTGTCTTTGGTGTATCATCTTTGTGGAATACTGGAAGCGCCAGGAAGTTGATTTGAGCTGCAGGTGGCAGACCAAGAACGTCTCAGCTGTTCGGACCAAGCGACGAGAGTTCAAGGCAGAAACAGAGGCCTATGATGAGGGTACCGGTGAGCTGCGCGGTGTCTTCCCGGCAACTAAGCGCATGCAACGACAACTACTTCAAATCCCGTTCGCATTGCTTGCGGCAATTGCTTTGGGTGCTATCATAGCGACTTGCTTTGCCATTGAGATCTTCATCTCAGAGCTCTACAATGGTCCTTTGAAGACATACTTGGTATGGTGATCCTTCCCATTCCCTGTGACCAAAGCTTACCCTTCAGATTTTCATCCCAACCATCCTTGTGTCAGCGCTTGTGCCAACCATGAGCGCTATCTTGACGTCTATCGCAACGAAACTTAATGATTACGAGAACCATGAGACAAGTGACGCCTATGATGTTGCATTGACCCAGAAGGTCTTTGTTATCAACTTCATCACGTCTTACATGCCAATTTTCCTGACGGCCTTTGTTTACGTGCCTTTTGCTAGCCGAATTGTCCCCTACCTCGATGTCTTCCGCTTGACAGTTCGGCCTTTCGTGTCGAAGGAACATGCCATCTCAAAGCGATCGAATTTCCAAATCGACCCAGCTCGCCTGCGAAACCAGGTTGTCTACTTCACTGTCACGGCTCAGATTGTTGGTTTTGCGATGGAGACTATTGTGCCGTATATCAAACAGCATGCACTCCGCAAGTACAAAAAGTACAACAAGGAGCGCAATGGTAAGATGAACGGAAACGGTGACAAAGATTCGCCTGAGAGACCTGTCGTGTCTTTCGATGATCCGGCCGAGGAAGTGCAGTTCCTCACGCGTGTGCGCAACGAGGTCGAGCTTCCCGAGTACGATGTGACCGATGATCTACGTGAGATGTGTATTCAATTTGGATACCTGGCCCTTTTCTCACCCACATGGCCGCTTGTTCCCCTTTCGTTCTTTGTGAACAATTGGATTGAGTTGCGATCAGACTTCTTTAAGATTTGCATGGAGTTCCGCAGGCCTGTCCCATCGCGGACTGACACGATTGGACCTTGGCTCGATAGTCTGGGATTCCTATCTTGGGTCGGAAGTATCACCAGTGCTGCACTGCTGTACATGTTCAGTGGCAACACGCAGCACGGGCCCAATGGCGAGCCGACAGATATCAAAGGCTGGGCCCTGCTTTTGACAATCTTCTTTTCCGAGCACCTGTATCTTATTGTGCGGTATGCTGTGCGGGCTGGTATGGCTAGGATTGAGCCCCCCAACTCCCGCAAAGAGCGGGCTGATCGTTATCTCATGCGCAAACGCTACCTTCAGTCGACAACCAATGCGGAGGTGGACGAGAAAAACGATGAGGATAATATCACATACATGGTTCAACCAACTGACGTCTCACGCACGTCTCTTGAAGATGATGCTCGGCGTGCGTCCTCGCATGGCGCCGACCCGGACAACCGTTTCTGGTTGCACCAGCGGGGCTGGATGGAGTCAGCTAAGATCGGAGCTGGGATTATACAGGCACAGCCTAGCAACGATAGCGCGAAGAAGCAACAATAGTGCTTCGGAGTTGGGCAGAGTCAGGATGTGGAGGCAGGGGGAGGCCTTTGTTATGGGGTGGGATACGAGATCACGAGACTATAGACGTTTAACTTAGTACGCAATGTGCAGGTACATAGTAATTACCGATATATGTTCGATCTACGACTTAAGCTGTCCCGAATGGAATGATGGTGCAGTGCCTCAGGCAGAAATGTCGGGATAAGTGGTGATTATGATGTCATGATGACTTGGTCGGAAACAAGTAAACCCGTTCCGATACCGGATATGGGCGGCATGTGGTCAGCAATAGAACGAATCGTCGATATGTCAATGGGTACGACGAGATCATGCAATTGGATGAGGATGACGAGCTATCATGAGGTTATTGTTAAACCCAATCATAGCCAACATGTGGTATCAAGACCAGTTTAGCGGCAAAAAGCGTTGAGATAAACTCTGGGGTAGGAGCCACCGCCTCACTCACCGCCTACTAAATGCGACACCTTCGCTTACCAACTCCTTACATAAATCGACGATCGCCCCAAATCCTCTGACTCAGAATCCTTAAGTAATCCTCCTCCTCCTCCAGGGCCCGCCATCAACCTGCTTACAGCATCGGATCTGTAACTGCTTACCTCATTTTAGCTGTATTTTGTGTTCAGCAAAGCAGCTCTCTTTGCTCTCAATTCTTTTGGAAACTAAAGTGCCGTGCAAAGTCACTGCCCAATACCATCTCGAATCCCCTTTCTGCTTAATCAATGCAACCTGCACTGGCGCCAGCGCCGCATCCAAGCATGCAGACTTCTGCTCAGGTAAGCAGGCCATATTGAACGCGTTTGTCATCAGATCTATATGACTTCCTCGATACTTTGGATACAAGACAATTATGTCGCGTTACCAACGTGTCGGGACGACGTTTCGACGCGTCGGGTCTCCCTGCAGTCTTGCCACGTCACCTTGGTGCTTCGTTTTGTTATTTGTTACTGTCCATGCTAACATGACTGTAGGACCATGCGGATCAGGGTACGTGATTATAGTTTAGAGCTTTCTTGATGTTTAATTCTTGATGTTTAATTGCCATTACTTTTGAGGGATTCAAGGATTCGCGGTTTTCTGGGTTGAAAATACCCTACCCCGATCTCCTACTTCATCTCACCTGGGAAAATTAGGGCTGCGCGTCGCACATGATTGTTCCCCATTGCTGACGTGATTTTATAGTCCTCCATGACCAGCTTTTGGCTGCTCAGCACCACCTAGGCGGTCGTCCGCAGGGTGCTCCAGGCCAACAACAACACTTGCAGCCCAACAATGCTAGCCCGCGCGACCAGCCAAACATTGACCCTGCCATCTCGGGTGCCATGCTCGGCGCTCCCCAAACCCCCACCCAACCCCAGGGTTCTCCCCCATCCGACGGCGGCTCCAAGAGCTATGGGAAGCGTGAGCTGTCCACTTCTAAGCGTGCTGCCCAGAACCGTGCTGCTCAGGTATGTCCTTTGGATAACGTGCACAGAGTACTCTGCTAATCATCAGAACAGCGCGCATTCCGCCAGCGCAAGGAAACCTACATTCGCAAACTTGAGGAAGAAGTGAAGAACATCGACCCCCTCAAGGAGCAGGTCAAGTCCCTGGTGGGCGAGAACTACCAGCTGCGTGAATATATCATCAACTTGCAATCGCGTCTTCTCGAAGCCCAGGGTGAAGTCCCCGAGCTGCCTGCGAACATAGATTTGAGCCAGCCTCGCACCACTGAGATGGCGCTTGCTTCTGCCGGAATTCAGAATTCGAGCCCCCCAGGGTCGGTGCCCACCCCGGGTGCCCAAGGCCAGCACTCTTCTGTCTCCGATGACATGAACTCTCTGAACCGCATCGCTGCGGCAACACTTGGAATGCGTAAGCACCCGGACGACACGGCTTTCCTCAACAACAACAGCTTCCAGCAGAATAAGCGGGTGCGCACAGATGATAGCCAGGACGGAAATGACGGCGTGAACAAGCAGGAGATTCCGCACGGTCTTCCTATGGTTAACTGATCGCCATGCCGTTTTAATCCGTCTTGATTGCCTACGTTCTGCGATCACCTTTCGATACCCGCGTCTGTGTCTTTTGTTTGCTTCTGTCTTATTCAGCTTCGGTGTTACGTTATGCTTGACGACGACACTTGCCATCTTTCTATCTCGCCTGTTCTGCTGGATCTCCTGTGCCTTTTTACTTTACCGTTATGTCACGTCCCCCCTTTGCGTAACGGTGTATGGCGCAGTGAGTGATTCCATCCTCTTGATTTCGAATACGTGATTGGGTGGTGTTTTGAGATTTGTTACCTTCATTGTGGCAGATTAATGGGGAGTTTATTATTATTCCCGCATTTGTTTCATACTTCAATTTGATCTGTCTGCTTAATTGCTCAATGGATGGTCACAAGATGCGGATACCCATACCTTCCCCAGCGGACTTTTGCTGCCTCGTGGGCGGTTTCTATAGCACCGCTTTTATGAGGACTAATGTCGCCCAGAGTCAAGCTTGCTGGGCGACTTAGTCCGGTCTGGGGATTTTGAGCTGCTCCGTGCTATCGGGTTTATGTGGGCTGTACTCCGTAGTATACTAATATTCTTCGGCGTTTTCAGGCCTTGTCTAAATTAATCCTTTGGAATGAAGTGAATAATCATACCCATAGACTAGAGATTTAGTGGCACCTTTATGGAGAGATGAGATCCGATATTGAGGTAATCAAAGCGAGAGGTGTGGCTACATGTCCGTTCTCACAGGCGAGGAAGTTGGGTCACTTCCAGTAAATTCGTTCACTTATACATGATCCGTGAATCTATACTGCAAAGAACATGACAGCATTGGCCTCATGCAATATGTAGTACTTACATACTTTTAGTGCTTCGAACACCTTCGGGCTGGCAGAAGTCTAGTAGAATATCTCATTGCAAAAAACTGTCATGCTCATCTATTTGTGATCGGTTGTCTGGAGGGTACCTGCGTTGGATCATCTATCACTAACTATTTATCGAGGCCATATTCCTTGATAAGAATATCAGCACAAGTAATACCAGTCACGTAAGCAGTAGCCTGGGTGTGGTTGTTAGTGAGGACAGGAACAACACTCATATCAGCAACGCGGAGGTTCTCCATGTCCCGTACACGGAAACGCGTGTCAACAGCAGAATCACTGGCACCAGTCTTGCCCATCTTCACCGTGCCGGTCATGTGCCAGCTGGAAGAGAGCGTGTTCTTCCAGAACTCGAGGATGTCCTCGTCGGAATCAGACGCAGGCCCCATCAGCGTTGAGATAGTGTCCTTCGCAAAGCACTCCTGTCTACTGACGTCCAGCAGGTGTCGATAAATCTCGATACAAGCGTGACGATCGTACGGATGCCCGAGAAACCGCGGGTCGAACAGCAGCGGGACGTCTGGATCAGAGGACTGCAGGCGCACTTCGCCGCGGGATTGCTCATTTATCATGAATGCTACGAGACAGTTATAGCTGTAATCTTTGAACATTTCGGGCTTCATGCAATGGAGGGGCATGTGGGTGGCTATCTCGTAGTGGGGGATGGTTTCGCGGTTCAGGAACTCTTGCACGGATGCTGGAAGCGCTTTGAATTCGGGCGAGGCGGTGATACGGTATGATTTGAACCAGCCGGTGCCGATCTGGCAGCAGTATCGGTTCCATAGGCCGGTGTTGTCGTGAAGCCACTCTTTCATTGCAGCCTCCATGGCGGCGGGATCTTTGAAGAAGGAATTGCGGTCATTTGTCTCAGGGTTACGGGCAAGAACCAGAGGAACCAAGTAGTGGTCTCGGAGACCCTGGCCAATGGCGGGCAGATCGTTGATCACTGAAATGTTGAACTTCTCAAGCTCTTTAGCCGGTCCGATTCCAGAGTGCATTAGAATCTTTGGGGTGTCGAGTGTGCCTGCAGAAAGAATCACATCTCGAGAAGCGAAGTCTGTAATCCATGTCAGACGAAGTGCATAGTGAGAGTTCAGAATGAAACATACACTTCGTGCCCTGAGCCTCTACTCCAACAGCCTTTTTGCCTTCCAACAAGACCCGCTGTACTGGGCTGTCTGTGACAACGACAAGATTATGAGGAACATTTTCAAACATATCAACAGCCGTGGTACGCTCTCCCTTCTAAGCAGAATTGATTGTTGCAGCCATGCCAAGGGGATTGCCGGAGTTGTGATCCAAGTTCAGCTTGTGTCCAGCCGCTTCGAATGCATCCAACGTGGGTGCCAAGTCCCTTTCCCAATCCTGGGCATACCCGACGCGCAAGGGACCCGAGTGGCCGTGGTCGGAAGCAACCGAACGGACATATTTCTGATTTTTTGGAAGTACACGACCATCGAAGGTCTCCAAATTCTTGTAGCGGATATGCATCTCCTTCCATCCGAAGGTATCGTCATCCACCTCAGATGCCCACTCATCGTAGTCATCCCGCGCGCCTATAGCAAAGACCCCGAAGTTGATTGCCGAGCTACCTCCAAGACCCTTTCCACGGGAATAGTCGCCATCGTGCCCATTGCAATATTCTTGTGGTGTGGTCCTGTACCCCCAATTCAGGCTTGGTTCCCTAAATGTCGTCCAACGCTTTCCATTCACTCGCAAAGCTTTGTCATCATTGCGCCCACCTGCTTCAAGAAGTAGAACGTTAGGTCTTTGGGCAGATTTGGCGAGCCTCGCAGCCACGGTGCAACCAGCTGGACCACCTGTTCAACGATGAGCATGAGATATTGCAGGTGTGTATGGTGCACGATTACCTCCGACGATGACAAAGTCGTATGTGTTTTTAGATTCCATGTTGAAGGTAGCTTTCTAGCGTCAAGAATTTGTCAAGAGCAATTTGCGAAGAACGTATTTAGATGAGGTCAGTGGCAACACGTCAAGTATATGTCATATCTTCTTTCTGGCATGTTTATGCCATAATCCCGTCTTTGCCTGCATTAACAGTAAGCCAACATGTGAAAAATAGTACAGCGTATTACCACTAGGCCACAATAATTGGTCTTGGTCTAAAGGCGGCTATATCTGTTCTGTTTCTTGTCTGACACCACACACTCAACATGACGGGTTGTACTCCGTACACCTTGGAGGGACCCAACAATAGATGGGGCAAGGAAATATACACCCCCAGGTTGAAGAGGGCTAGCGTCGAGACTGCAATCCTCACAGGATATTGCATTTGTTTATTTACGACACGGCTAAATGGGCCTTTGAGTCCAGGAGGTTCGTTAATCAGGTCAATTTTGCAGGGGTTGTAAATGTAGATCCTATGGCGAAGGATGCATACAAATTGAGGCTAATTCATTAGTGTAACACCAGAACAAGGCTGCAACATGGTATTAACCAAGGGCATTTAAACAGACTCTTTGTCGCACAGCATGGCTCGAATGGTAATCACCGGGATCAAATCCATGGCATTGATTCTCGGATCCAGTACCTTTCAACACTTGCACTGTTGCGAAGTCTGCAGCAAGCCCGATTTCATGTTGCTAAAAGATAGTATAAAGTGTCGCAAGAGATCCCAAAATAGAAAACAATAAGACTCAAGCCGGGGATCCACATTGACTAGGATATCGATTTCCCAAAGCTAGGAGGTTTCGCTTGAAAGTGACCAGTCGTTTCTTCAGACAAAGCAAGTCATATCGGACGCGTAACATAGGCCCGTGCGGTTATATCTGCAACGGGAAGATCTGACGGGCCGAAGACGCATACGCATATTGTGTGCTCTGCGCTCTGTGCATACGAAATATCCTTTCATGCCGATTGAACCATGGAGTATGAGTATCACTAGTTACGGAGTACGAGGAAAATCAGGTTTAAGTCATCAATGTCACGAGACCGTAGACCAACGCGCACGGTCCCTCATGTTGTTTTGGGTCCGGATCCTCCGCAAGAAAACTAACCAATCGCAGCTGAGAACCTCCTTCCCCACTCCAGTTGCCGCGGAGGTTAGCGCAAAGAAGATTCGTCCTCGGCAATTGAGACATGTCGGTTCCTTATGGAGGGCAGATTGTACATACTCCGGATATAGACGGCGCCACTCTAGCCACCTGAGGTTGTTAATTTCAATGGGAAGAAAAAGAGGGTAGACCAAAAGCTGAGATTTTGAAATCGGAAATGATCGTCTAGTTCTATTGTGCAGATCCCATTTAATTCCCAGTCACTGAAATTGGAACGAAAAAGTCCAAAAGTTCACGTGTGGCGGTTCCAAGGGTTCCCTTTCTCGGCTTAGCTTGGCATAGGGGCAAACCTTTATGCTGGGGATAGCTCTGGAGTTTTCTTTTCTCCTGTCTACTCATACTATTCTCATTATTATAATATAACGGCATTGCTGGACGTTCGCTTAGCTTCAATTTCCGCCTTGAGTCTTCGACCTCGTCATCGGAAACTTCTTTGAAACTTCCAAGTTACATCCGCCATTCTTCGGCAAACGAAATCGCGATCAGAGCCTCCCACAGATCTCAAGCTCCTCAGGCCCAAACCCTCGATCCCTTTGATTCGGCATTGACATCGTTGGCGCAAATGATCTGCTCGGACTAGCACAACTATGATGGCTATACCGGGGTTCTCACCAAGCGGGGCATGAAACATTTTCTGGTCTTTCCAATACCAACATTATATATATATCCCACCCAGGCTGGTTGAGTCGGCGACCATGACAGACCTATCACAATACCCCGACGGCTTGCGTGGTTACCGTAACCATAATCTGGCGGTGCGGACATTGATGATTGTCTTTACCTCCATCGCATTATATAACTCCATCGAATTGTTCATATTGTTATTTTTCACCTTCACTCGTTATCGCGGACTCTACTTTTGGACGCTTTTGCTCTCGGTAGTCCTCGGAGTGATCCCTCACGCCATTGGCCATCTCCTCGCGTTTTTTTCACTGGCCCCAGTATGGCTCTCGTTGACTCTCTCCACTATTGGCTTCTACGTCATGGTCCCAGGTCAATCGCTGGTGCTATACTCTCGCCTTCATTTGGTGGTCAATAACAACAACGTGCTTCGGTTTGTTCTTTGGCTGATTATCATCGACGCGATCATTCTCTTGATCCCAACGACTATTCTTACCTACTCTACCGCATACATTGCAAATCCGGCAATTATTCGGGGATACAATGTCATGGAGCGGATGCAACTGGCCTGGTTCTGTGCCCAAGAGATTGTCATTTCGGGAATTTACATCATCGAGACCGCGAAGCTACTCAGAATGATGCCAGACAAGGACCGGCGGCGGTCCAGAATCCTATATGAGTTGCTGGCTATCAATTTCGTCATTATATTGCTCGATATTTGTTTACTCCTCGTGGAATACATTGGGTTTTACTCGTTACAGACCACGTTGAAGGCCATGGTTTACAGCATCAAGTTGAAGCTCGAGTTCGGTGTGCTCGGAAAGCTAGTCGATCTTGTGCAGAATCATCGATCGCAACCCACTTCGTCCGAACACGAAGAATACCCTGGCTTCGTCGATCCTTCCCAGATTACAACGGATGTCACCCATGCAGCCCCACGGGAATTGCGACCGGGGGTCGGAGAGGCTGGAATACGATATCTGTGGAGAGCTTGCCCAATTCTGAGCGCGACACTCGTCCATCCACTCAGTCGACTGGCAAGAGCCTGCATCCATCTTGAGGTCGGACTAGTGATCAATTGTCTACCACTCAGACCAAAGGTCGAAATATAACGAGCGAAATGAAGTATGAGCAGGCTGTGGTTGCTTACTCCAACCGCCTTTCTGCTTCCACTTATGGCAATGGGTGACGATATCTTCGTCTGCTCTTCACAAGAAGAGTACCTCGACAAGTCGAAAGCAACCCATGATCCCGCTCATTGGAATCCAAATTCCCTGGTTTCATCTCGCGTGCGCAACGAGCCATCTTCGCACCTCCGGCGCATCGACAATCAAATGCCCATCGTTCCTTACATCCCAGCGAGATTCGAACAGCCTTGCTGTCAATCCCTGCTGACTGTACGATATACCATGTGGTTCAACCAACCGACTATCCAAAATTCCTCCAGGTCCACCATAGGACTGCATTGTTTATATGTGCCAGATTTACATTGGCAATAATAATTATTTAACGCCACGTCCACGATTTGTTGATTTTCAGCCTCATGATGTAATTACTTCAATGACATATTACGTCGCCATGACATCTCATCAGACATCAAAACTAGTTAGCAAAATTTTTAGATCTAGACAAAATCGTCTCTTTGTAATCAATGCAGCATGGAAACCACCGTCTCGATATACCATGGCCCATACGAGTCCATCCCTGACAACGCTTCACCAGGTCTTAAATTTCTCAAACGATTCCTACCAGCACTAGACTCCCTGACCCCCGGCGAAAATGTCATCAGCCCTTTCTTCACATCCAGCGCTCCCATCCTCATCGCCAGCGATCCACCAACAACCGCAAGCCAGGCAGTCCCTATCCTCGAAGTGCGCAGCCGACATACCTCCAAATTCCATCATCATGTTGATCTCGCCTGGGATATAGACCTTCGAGGTGACACAGGTCCCATCAATACGTCGTACAGCAGGACTGCTCCAAACGCAGACGCCGCCCAAAAAGGTCAGCTCTATGCTCCGCTAGTAGGGAACATACAGATGAAGCGCACGGTTATGTTTGAAGCGACATCGGAAACAACCTTCAGGGAGGATCCCGACCAGTTCGCAGTTCGAGTCCGTGAGTTCAATATCCTCGACTTGGAAGGCCGCGACGAGTCGGATTTGCAGATTGTTGAGATGCGCATCTTTTTGGACCAGAGACCTCTCCAGGCTCATTCTGCGAGTCTATTCACGGGCTCCGGCTATTCCGGATCTTAGGTTGGAGTACTCCGTATACGTAGATTGGATAAATGGAATGAAATTTCATGGATCGATGTGCTTGGCTTCTCCACTGCGGAATCATCTACTAAGCCCCAAGTTGAACTAACCCCCGCGCCCCCACTTGGAATGTGTCTTCCATGTCTTATCTTTGGAGGTCATATTCGGTAAGGGATTCCTTTCTTGGCTTTTTTTCGCCTCTTTGCCTTATAAGGTTGCATTGCCCGGTGCTGGAATTTGTAGACAATTCAAAAATTTTCACGCGTTAACAAGACAAGATGTTGGCAGCACAGAAACAAGCAGAGATCATCCACAATGTCTCTGAGGCTTTGGATAAGTATGAATCTAAGCTCAATGAGATCAATCTGAAGGCGTGTATGATATAGGCAAGCATATAAAGGCTTTATTAACGGTCAATAGATCTGGTCCAACCCCGAACTTTCATTCAGAGAGTATAGCGCCCACGACAACGTCTGCGAGCTTTTTGAGTCACTCGGGGGTGGATACAAGGTTAACAGAAAAGCCTATGGAATTGAAACGGCGCTTGAAGTGATCTATAGCCACGGCGAGGGTGGACGTACCGTTGCTTTCAACGCAGAATACGATGCCCTTCCCGGCATGGGACATGCATGCGGACACAATCTGATCGCTACAAGTTCGATCGCGGCTTTCCTGGCCACGTGCGAAACAATGCGTAGTCTGTACTCCGATGGAATTGGCTATTCAGTTCGGCTTCTGGGGACTCCGGCCGAAGAGGGTGGTGGTGGAAAGCTGCTCCTCATCAACGCGGGAGCATACAAAGATGTGGACGCGTGCTTCATGGTGCATCCATTCCCGGTGCTTCCCGGTGCCCCCGATCTTCTTAGCGCGAGTTGCTGCACCGGGCTGTATCTCGCGAACGACAAGGTTAAGGTGACGTTCACGGGCAAGCCGGCGCATGCGTCGGCTGCTCCGTGGAAGGGTATCAATGCGCTAGATGCTGTGGTGTCTGCCTATGTGAACATTTCAATGCTGCGACAGCAGATCTTGCCGACGCAGAAGATTCATGGGGTTATTTCGCGAGGCGGTGATAGACCGAATGTTATTCCTGCCTCTGCGACGGTTGAATACTATATTCGATCGGAGACTGCGAAGACACTGAAACCATTGACCGAGAGGGTGCTGAAATGCTTTGAGGCTGCTGCGATTGCTACTGGCTGCACGGTGGAATACGAATGGTATGAGAATTGGCGATGGTCTATTTTGATACGCTTCGCTAACGCATTTGTCAGGGAGGCCTCGTACAAGGACATGAAGAGCAATAAGCCCATATGTGACAGCTACGTCTCTGCTATGAATTCTATGGGCCACAAAACTATCTTCGATGCCGCGCAGCAGGCAGGGGGTCTTAGTGGAGGGTCAACTGATATGGGTGAGTGTTCCAGATCATTATAGTGTGACCTGAGGCTGAGCCACTCCAATCTAGGCAACGTTTCATATGAAGTACCTGGCTTCCACGGTGGATTCTTCATTCACGCTGATGGCGTTAACCATACGCCGCAATTTACCGCCGGAGCCGGATCTGAGGATGGGTTCAAGCGTAGTTTGCAGTGTGCAGCGGGGATGGCAGTGGTGGCGTGTAGAGCCTTGGTCGATGCAAGTTTCGCCACTGCCATCAAGTCGGACTTTGAGAAGAGTTTGGAATTGTAAATACTAGGTTACATTTAGCGTTCTCTCGTATTTCTTGTGGGATCTTTCGAAATTCAAGTACAAGTGTATGACCCATGCTCATTGACAACTTACCCTATTTGTACAAAGACGACTCGGCAATTGTCGCAGATAGAGTATGTTCTGATCGACAGTGGATTCAACTGCCGGACTTGCCTCCACTGAGGGGGAAGTGGATGTTCCCCCAAATTACCTCCGTCATGACTCTGACTATGAAAGTGGGGTGCCGAGGAAGATTTATTCTTCGCGGATTAACATCGCGGGGAAATTCCGGTAACTTCTTACCAACGACGAGACTGACTACATGTGTATAAAATCCTCCTTTGGTGTGCGAGAAGTGTTGCAATCTCGGTTGCGATCGGTCACCGTCGGCCATCAGCCACTGGCACAGGGCTTGATGCTACCGGCTGAGTCTTCCCTATTCCGTCGATAGTCTTCGCTGATCCCATACTTCTTTTGAATCTATCCAAACCCCCGGAAATGGATCCAACGCGATACGTCCATAATGTACCTTTGCTATTTCTGTATCGCTATGCGAGGAGAGAACTGCATCGGCTAGGTGATAATTCGTATTCCCCGAGGGTGTACTCGCTAAGTAAGCGCCAGGGATTAGAACCTTAGCGATTAGTCTACTCAATTGCATGAGCCATCTTGGGAACCTCCACTCTAGTTCGAAACCTCCATTTCAGGATACGCTAGTAGCTAGTCCTAACATATTCTAAACGTCCCAGGCCTGGCGAATGAGACACCGGCGGTTCGTTTGCCTCTCACTAAGCCCGTGGACGGTCCGATGGCTTGAGAAAACAAAGAGAACCGCTCTTGTCCGTCCACTGTCACTTTATCTCGCACTTCATCTCATTTTTTGTTTATTATTCACTTCCTCTGTGCATGTTCTGGGCCTCGGCGAACACCGACCGTATTTTCCCCCTCTTTCGAATAATTCCCCCTATCAGAAATTCAAGAGGCGGTCATAGCTTTGACGGATATGACGAGTCTCTTTGTTATAGCTGCATGATCTGCTTTCTATATGCAGAGGCCCGGTACACGTGTTGGATCTGTTGGTTTTTTTTCCTCTGGGAAGTTGTCCTGTTTTCATTGGAAAAATATGCAACTCTTTTGTAGGCTCGATATATCATATGACTGCGCAAAAACTTTTTAAAACACAGAAATTAATAGAAAGTAACATATATAACAATAAAAACAAGCATGTCTATAGCGACAGGGGTATAAAGTGAAAAAAGTTGGCCGCCCAGTGATGATTCGACCATAGCCAGTCGAAGTTCATCTTGCAGTATACATCACGTATGAAAAATTATGTCCCTAACAATTTATCAACATCTGCTCTTACTTCGGGCGCTCGATTAATGCCATTTCAAGCGAAGACTGCGTATCGGATGAGGGCATCCGAGGCCGAGCATTTGCCCGTGACTCAACAATGTCCATAGTTGACATTGTCTGGCGCATGGCCTCGTGAAAATCGTAGATACCGCTGCGCGCTGAATGCTGTTCCGGGCTCGTCGTTCTCCCAGCAGTGCCAGCACTGGAGCTAGCTTGCGCCTCAGTATCCTGCGACGGGGGACTGTTTGCGAGCATGTCGAAGAGATTGATGTCGGTCGAACGACGAGCATTGCCATTAGCCCCTTGGCAAAACGCGCATGGGTAAGTGCGTGTCAGCTCGCGGAGCTGCGTAAGGGCGTGGAATTCGAGTTTCAGCTTGATGCTGTAGGCGACTGTCTTGAAGCTGATGACGATATAGTGCACTTTGTACTCGGCGAGGAGGATCAATACGTTGAGCAGGATGCCGAAGAGATTAACGAAGAGTATTCGATAGATGATTCTTCGGCCTTGGGGGCCTTTGGATTCGAAGACGGGCTTGAGCGCTCGGAGTGCTTCGCGGACGTAGATGGCACAAATTATTGTATCTTGGATGGCGAATCCGGTTGCCTGCAAACGATCGTAGATTCCCGATACGGGGCCGCATGATATATTGCCAACGTTGAGACCGAAGAGGACGGCCATGGGAATGTGGAGGATGAAGAAATTGGTTATGATCATCCATAGTACCCATCGTACATGGCGGATGTCGGCCACGACGAGGTGCAGTCTGGAATACAGCACGAGCGCTTGTCCAGTCACCATGCAGATCCAGCCCACCATAAAAGGGACTGACATGGCAATGGCAGAGGCTTGTTGTGTATAGCGAATTTGACCTGGTATGGCATGTAACAATATCCCCCAGGCCGCAACTTGCATGCTCCAGAAGTATAGCCCGCGATACTTTTTGAACCTTTCGAATATGCAAATCACAACTTCCAACGAGTTCCACGCTCCGATCGAGAACATAGCTATGATCTGGACGATCGTGAAGTTGGTATTTAAAATGAGGCTCACCTCCACAGGGAGGTTGCTCATTGAGGTGTCCATAGCGTGTGAATCGGTTTGGCCATGTGGATAAATCAGCCGGTGGGAAAGAAAAAATATATATTAGTCACAGCTCGGACAAATGCCCCATCTGGCTGACATACACCATTATAATGGAGACTTCCCTCGAGCGCCTCATCCTGGGCCACGGGATGGGACGGGATAAGGTTGACTGCTGGTGTAGAAGGTGGATCATGTCACTGGCGAGTCATGCCCTTCGCATAAATGAGAGAGAAAGCACTAAATACAGTCTATGATGCTAGCCCACGGGGATCTAGGGCAGATGTTCCGGTTCATTAGACAGTCAATGAAATTCCGAATGGGCTATTGGTAGCAACGATATGAAGATCCCGGTTTCCCCTCCCCCTTAATCATGTTGGTTGGAGAGCTTATTGGACACAGCAAACGAAGGGACAAAAGTCGAGAGGCTATCGGCGCGCCAAACATGGATTCTCGGGATCTCAAACAAAGAAACCCAGCCAGAAGTCGTGCACTGATCACATTTCTTTCGCTAGTGGCGCACCGAAATGGGAGCCCAGACCTCCCATCGAGGCATTCAGGCATTGGTAATGATGATTGACTGAAGAGATATGGAGTACTCCATACGGAGTAGAGAGAAAGAGAAGAAGAGAAGAATAGGAATGGATTGACGTCGACGTTGAGGCTTGGCGCCCGTTGGACTCGGAGCTCTCCTGACAAGAAGTGGCCAAAGCGGAGTACTTTGTGCACAATGAAGTCTTGTCTTTAAAGTAATCCGTATTCGTATAGAAATATAACAATAAACATGGAGTATAGATTGACCGCTTCAATATTAAACATATCCAACATATACAGATCGGTGAAAGATGACACGTACATCGAACTTATCCAAAAGCTCAAGCGCTGTGCTACGAAGAAGAGATAGTACAGAGTAGAGAATGTGTACATTAATAGATTGGATACCGCTAAGCCATGTACCTCTTATTGGACATGTAATTTGAAACATCGTGTCATATCAAATCCCGTCTCCTGAATCTCTTTGGATTTATGTCCGATCAACCTCCAGTTCTGGGTAAACAGGGCGTTTCCAGTCCCCATCCCTATCGCTTAAGAACCGTGACAACAGTTGGGGTATGTGAAGGAAACAAGCTAGTCCTATAACGAGATGAAGAAGTGAGATTTCCCATTGTGAGTTGGGGATTGCCCATCGGAGCAATCCAGTGTTGAATGGCTGAACTAGGTCGATGAAAGGTCGCATTTTTTGATGGTAGTTTTGGAAGGCCTGGGACAAATCGTCACTGCGAGCAAGCTCTCCAGCTAGGACATATGCCCCAACCAGACCACTACTTGTCCCCATTCCACTCAAGGGAGAAGGACAGTATGCCGCATCCCCTAGAAGGACAACCCGACCGGGGTGCCAGGTATCTGTCTTGATTTGGACGATATTCTGGCAGAACCAGTTCTCTGTGGTGTCCATCCCTTCAATAAAGCGATCGGCCTGCCACCCCGCGTCGCGAAACTGTTTTTTGCTGCCCAACTGAACGTTTCGGGATATTCCGAAGTTCTTCCGAGTCAGATCTAAGCGTGAAGTAGACCTGGGTTTCCGCTTGATTGTGGCTTCTTGTCAGGATCGTCCGGCCGCCCGGGCAGAGGTACGACTTGCACATATTGCTGTCAGTTTCAATCCGTGGGACAAACCAGTACGCCATGTGTACACCGAGCTGGTGATATTCGTTCGGGGCATCGGGGGGTAGAATGTGCTTTCGAATTTGCGAGCCCTGCCCGTCTGCTCCAACCAGTAGATCAAATATATCCGAAGAACCGTCGGAAAAGGTTGCGACTACCCCTTGGTCATTTTGCGCGAAGCCATCCACCGTTTGGCCGAATATATATTTCACTTTGTCTTTTGTCGCGTCGTAAAGTATGCGCACGAGATCCCCGCGCATGATCTCATACTCGGATGTCATAGACTGTGCACCCTTGCCAGACTTATTGGCTAGGACTTCCCCCCTGACATTGCCCTTCGCGTCAATGAAGGAGACGCCTGCTTCGTCGACGAGCTTTTCGCGAACGGCGTCCATGAGACCCATGCGTTTGACGGCCTCGATGCCTTGTCCACGGAGGTCGATCTGGGCACCTGTCGCTCTTAGCACTGGGGACCGTTCGACGATAACAACTTGGTGACCATTTCGGACGAGCCAGAAGGCCAAAGCCGGACCTGCGACACCTCCGCCACAAATGAGGACTTTCAGAGCCATTCTGTAGGGATTATCTAGGAGAGATTTAGCAGAAGAAACAAATTTCCTGTGTAATCAGCAGTCTGGATTTGAATTTTAGGGGTAGTAAGCCGGCCTCGCACAATTCGGACATAAAGGGCAATTGCTCCTTTTCGCTGAATATACCGGTTTGTCATTGTGGGTCATGACTTTGCATCGGAGGTATCTCATAGGCAACTATTTTGGGGCTGCGGAGGCCCGTGGCTGAAAATCAAGGAACGGGAGTTTCACCAGTACGTTGAGTATTTGAATCATCCATAGAAAGAAACCAAGAAGTTAATGCATGATAGAGCTAAGTAACACTACACAAAATGATATATAATCGACAAATTATTCACAGACGAGGACGGCCGGTCACAGGGAAACAAGGGATATCATAACGGTCCAAATTCATAACCTTGGCCCAGGCAGCAACAAAGTCCTTCTTAAACTTATCCTGGGCATCGGAGCTGGCGTACAGCTCAGAAAGAGCACGGAGCTCAGCGTGGTGACCGAAGATCAGGTCAACACGGGTGGCAGACCACTTCTTGGCACCGGTCTTGCGGTCGAAACCTTCAAACTGCTCACTGTCAGCGCCGGTTGGCTTCCAGACAGTGCTCATGTCGAGCAAATTGACGAAGAAATCGTTGCTCAGCTGGCCAGGGCGAGAGGTGAAGACACCGTGGTTTGATCCGTCCCAGTTGGTGTTAAGAGAACGCAGACCACCAACCAGAACGGTCAATTCAGGGGCGGAGAGGGTCAGCTGCTGCGCCTTGTCGATGAGGAGCTGCTCGGTGCGGACACGGCGAGTGGAGTGGCCGTAGTTACGGAAACCATCGGCGAAGGGCCGCAGCCAGCCGAATGACTCGACATCTGTTTGCTCCTGGGTGGCATCGTTGCGGCCAGGGGTGAAGGGAACGGGAATACCCGCGGATCTTTCGAGGGCGGCAGATCCAGCAAGCACAATCAGGTCAGCTACCGAGACGCGCTTTTCACCGTTCTGGGCACTGTTGAAGCGGCTTTGGATGTTCTCCAACAGACTGAGGACTTCCTGCAACTGCGCTGGATTGTTGACATCCCAGTCCTTCTGGGGAGCGAGACGGATGTGGGCACCGTTCGCACCTCCACGCTTGTCACCACCCCGGAAGGTAGAAGCCGATGCCCAGGCAGTGGCAATCAACTTGGTGGGCTCAATACCGGTCGAGAGAATCTCGTTCTTCAGCGCAATGATGTCGCCATTGTCAATCAGAGCGTAAGTGGGAGCAGGAATGGGATCCTCCCAGAGAGAAACCTCCTTAGGGATCTCAGGACCCAGCCAGCGAGCGCGAGGTCCCATATCACGGTGCAGCAGCTTGAACCACGCACGGGCGAATACATCGGCAAGCTCATCAGGGTTCGCAAGGAAACGACGGGCGATCTTCTCGTAGGCGGGATCGAACCGCAGAGAAAGATCAGTGGTCAGCATCTGAGGCTTGTGCTTCTTTGAGTCAAAGGCATCGGGAACGATATCGCCCGCATTCTTGGCGACCCACTGCTTAGCACCAGCGGGACTCGTGGTCAACTCCCAGTCGAACTTGAACAGATATTCCAAGAAGTTGTTACTCCACTTAGTAGGAGTACTTGTCCAGGTCACCTCCAATCCACTGGTGATAGCATTAGGGCCTACACCGGAGCCGTGCTTGTTGTGCCATCCCAGGCCCTGTGACTCAATGCCAGCAGCTTCGGGCTCCTCCCCGACATTATCAGCAGGGGCTGCACCGTGTGTTTTTCCGAAAGTGTGACCACCAGCAATCAAGGCGACGGTCTCTTCGTCATTCATAGCCATACGAGCGAATGTGATACGAATATCTCTGGCAGCAGCGACAGGGTCGGCGCTTCCATCAGGACCTTCGGGGTTGACATAAATCAAACCCATGACGACCGCGGCCAGCGGGTCCTCGAGATCGCGAGTTTTGATATCGCTCTGTTTAGCCTCCTCCTCTGGGGTCTCGGCCTCATAGCGAGCTTCATTAGTAAACCAGACGTTCTCACTTCCCCAGTACACCGACTCATCGGCTTCCCAGACGTCAGGACGACCTCCAGCAAATCCGAATGTCTTGAAACCCATAGATTCCAAGGCGACGTTGCCAGTTAGAAGGAAAAGATCAGCCCACGAGATTTTGGTGCCGTACTAAGTACAAGAATTAGTATTGATTGAGAAACTAGAAGTATAAAAGTGTATAGTTCTCACCTTCTGCTTGATGGGCCAAAGCAATCGACGGGCCTTATCTGGAAATGAAAGATACATATCAGCATGATATAGATGTCAACTCAACTATTAATGGAAACTCACCAAGGGAAACATTATCGGGCCAAGAGTTCAATGGTGCGAAACGCTGCTGGCCCTGGCCACCACCACCGCGTCCATCGAAAACTCTGTATGTTCCAGCGCTATGCCAGGCCATTCGGATGAAAAGACCGCCATAGTGACCAAAGTCAGCGGGCCAGAACTCTTGAGAGTCGGTCATAAGGGCGTGGAGATCCTTCTTGAGGCCCCAGTAATCGAGGGTCTTGAAAGCAGCGGCATAATCAAAGTCCTTATTTTGAGGGTTGGTAGCATCAGTATGCTGACGGAGAATATTCAGCTTCAAGGCATTGGGCCACCAGTCAGTGTTCCTGGATGAAATCAGTATGTTGAACCGGTATATTAAATGTGCCGAGGTAGAATCACGGGCGAACTAGGGACCATACCGGGTACCACCTCCAGCAACATTGCTCTTCTTGTGCGCAACAGGACATTCACCCATGATGTCAGTTGGTATGATAAAGAAAACGGGAAATCTGAAGAGAAAGAAAAGTGTCGGGAACAGGATGCCCCCGCAGTTTAAATGGTACAGGCTGTGGATCCAATGGCGGGTCACGTATTAAGCAGCTCCCATGTTTAGTGCAGATTCCCTCGATATGCTAGTTTAAAGGGAAATCATACGAAGACGACGTGAATTTATCTTTCTTGATTTTATCATTGGCCATGCAGCGACAAAATCCGGGGCGTGCGGGGAAAGCCATAACAGTCCCTCACGAAGAGCTCAGGAACTCATTGGCGGAATGCGCCGAAGAGCGCCGGATTCCGATTCGACCCAATATATAATGAGCTGACAAAATGGCCATTTCTAGATGCTGGACGATGTTCGTAGATATGAGAAATGTTGAATTGGAGAAGTCTTTGCAGTCTGGCCCTATGATCTGACTAATGATAATTACCCTGATAATCGCCCACTGGTCTATGTTGTATGTACGGAGTACGGAGCACGGAACACGGAGCATATACTCTGACAATCAATGTATGACCTTTTTCCCTTTTGATTCACATATAGAATTAGTGGTCTAGTAGTACATATTCTCGAAATTCTCCTTGAATGGTCCACTGATCCAGAGAAATCCTTGTTCGGATCATGGTTTATCCGAGCCCAACAGGGCGGTGTGTCCCAGCTTCGGAAGCGATTGCCTAATACAGACTAGCGTAAATATGCAACTCCAACCAGCTCTGATAAACTGATTCCATGCATTCATCATCCTATTCTTTGATGCTTTACTCACTGGCTGGTCAGACAACAGTATAACCTCACCTATGTCTTGTTCTTCCCTTTTGATATGTTCTGGCAATAGAAAGCTACGCAACTTCTATCATTCTTCTCTATCGGCAAGCTGGCTGTGAGAAACAGTTCAAACTCAAACTCAAACATCAACTACATAATCCGTGATTTATCGATAGAAGTGCTCTAGTGTTGAATATCCTACTAATGAATTTAAAAGCTTGATAATTATTTGAACTATGGGCCATCACTTCAACAGGAAGCTAGCAGCATGATGCTTCACAATGAGCCCAATGTCTCATACATTTCGGCAATAGGAACTCACCCAAGCTAGCAAGATTCAAGAAATAACGGGCTTGGTACCCATCCTCCCACGCGAGACTCTCAATCATCGACACTTGTGAATTTCTTTAAGACCTCTACATTGGCCTTCATTTCATTTCTCACTGGCAAAACGCCCTGTTGCCATTAGGATTGTCCATATATTCCGGCACTTTTCCTTTTTTGATATCCCCTGTGATACACTTGGAAAGGATGTGACCGTCTATCAGTGTGAGGCCTAGCGGTCTGGTCAGGTGTTACTTACTATGGGATCAACAAGATCTATATCGCGGCTAACGCTTGATCAGACTATAGCGGCCAATCAGGCGTTAGTATCAGGAAGGTACATGACTATACAATGGCGTCGCCGCGACGATGCGATTAATCTAGTCTCTTCTAGGAACCTATATGCATTCACCTCAAACGTTCTTCTTCCTTTTCATCCTCTTCTTATTCATCCCATCATCTACATTCACGGCCTTCAGCCACTACTTCGTTACAATTTTTTATCATCTGCTATCATGGCAGCCAATGCCACCAGCCATAATGGCCTTCCCAGTCACTTCTCTTTCCGCCAAGGTATTTCCGTCATCAAGATGGGACTCCACATGACACCTGAAGCTGCTCAGCGCTACTCGGATCTGTGGAATATGCTTGCTGCTCGCCAGCTGCCTTCTGAGCACCTTGGCCTGATCATGACCGTGGTGACCTTGGCAAGGCTTCATTCCTCCTTTGCCAACAATATAGTCGCCTGCACCCTTGTCAGGACATTCGTCGAGTCAAAGCAAATTGCCGGGCTTCGCGCTGCCCTTCCTCGCCTGCCGGACGAACTTGCGGCTGTCATTCCTAATCTCTTTCAAGAATCCACTCATGCCATCACGATGTTGCCGGCCATGCCTGCCGAATTCTCCGAGATCTTTTCCCTCTCTGCAAACGACGAAACTGCCATCCGCCGGGAGCTTATCCGCCTGGAACCGAAGTTGAAGCCTGCGATCTCCATCTCGGACGATGAGTTCAACATCATTGTCGATAATCTTCCCGACTTGCCTCCTAACATGAGTGGTACCTGGAAAATTCCGCTCGAGGTGTTCTCCACTATGATCAAGGAGAACCAAGGTCTCTCCGACAAGCTTGGTATTTTCTGGAATGTCCTCTCATACCAGAATTGGTTCGCGGTCTACAATGCCACCAGCTTCTTTGAGGGCCTTACCAAGTTTGCCACAGCCATCGCAGCCGTGGATAGCAACGAGTCCCAGGTGTATTGGGATTTCTACTGCCACTTTCTCCGAGTGATTGTGGCTAGGCCTCTCGCATAAATGCAGGATTCACTGCATTTTCTAAGCAACGATCGTTTTCTTTTGCGTCCTCTCTTGTTTCATGAGACCGTTGCTTCCCATCCAGAAGAGCACTAGCCAGCTCTCACTACGAATTCAGATTTCTTTCAGTCGTAACATCTCACATCTTCTTATTCGTAACTCATCATATGCACATAAATTTGATATCCCCATCTCGCAAAATATCGGGCCAGCTAAATGTTCCTCCAGACAAGCTCACCTCGTCCCTTTTGGTCCATATCGTCTCAAATATCTGTTTAGCCACCGATGCATGAACTAAGGTTGTTGTCCGAGCGCAATTATCAAACCATGACGAGAAAAACACCTGTAACTCAGGACTAACAGCCTCACAAGCAGTGATGAAAGCCGGCCATATCAGAGCAGCATTATGACTACTCTTCTGATCAATTTCCTCCTGTTGGATTTGGATTAGATAGCCCCTAATCGCATTGACATTGCGCTGAAGCATTGCAGGATCAATTTCGTATATTCGGCGTTGAAAGAAAATAGATAATGCCGTGTACATCGCATGAGCTGTCGCAGTCATGACCACTGGGAGAGCTCCATTATAAGGCTGAGCATAGCTTGGGTTTGCAGTCGGTAGCAAATGGTCGATAGCCCTTTCCAGACCCTTTGCCCGAGTCCAAAATTCCTTGAGACTGAGCCTACTTTGTCCTGCATCAGACATCATCGACAGGTCTCGCTCGTTGGCAAGGCGAATCACTTGGGACAGTAACATGAGGAATATCTCATCGATTCCGTATAGAGTGGGAAACAGCGTTGAGCTCCATCGGCCGGGTATCGCAAGGTGGAGGTCATGCTGGGCTATCCTCGGGTCCTTTTCCATGCTCATTGTGGTTGTGGAAAAGACTAAATTGGGGTAGATACGAAAGCCCCCTCCATATGTTGTGTTGTCGTTCAAAGTCTGATTGATGCTGAATCTATCAGCAATGCATGTTGTCTCGGCCATAATGCGCATGTAAGCATAACAGTGGTGCAATGCTCTCTTGTTGGCTGATAGCGCCGGCTGACTGAGTCCCTTGATGCAAATGAGTTTCTCGGTTTGGACGAGATAGGCATGTCGCATTTCCGGGTCCCCTTTTATCATCTGTGTTAGAGAGAATGTTAGCCATGTACAGTGAATCCACATCGAGGTCATACAAAAGCATTAGAAAGACTCAGCATTGCCATCAAAATCTCCTTATATTTGCTCATTTTCGCCGCCGAGATACAGCTTTCTTCCATACATCGTTGGAAGTGGTATTGAGCCCGTGCTAAGTATCTCGCTGCCGATAACGTCCATTGCTGAACGTAAGCCATTGAATTATTTCCCAAGTGAAAGGCACTTGTGCTCCATACGGCATTTAATAGGGCAAGCCGTGCATGATTGGGAGACCCATTTAGCATGAGGTCTGCCAAAGTTTCCATTGCGCATGGTATTACCAGGCTCATCCAAGGTGTCTCTTTTCCAAGGCACAAAGGAGAGATCAACGGCACGATTCTGTCTTTGTAATGGGATAGGAGATTCCAGCCCTCGATATTGCCCACGGATAAGTAGGGATTGAGTTCTGCTTGTAGACTCGGTTCGTGGAAGTCCATCCCAATGCTCTGAAGTGGCTCTTGACTCGGCCCTGCTAGCATTACATCGTTACCGTAATCTGCATCTAGGGCATCTGGACTGAACGGGGTCTGGTTCAAGTCTTCCTCTCTTTGCAGCTCCTCGAGCTGCTCGAACCAGTCACCCGAGGAGGGCTGAGTATCGTCTGTACCAAAAGTTAACGGCTCAAGCGGGAGTGATTCTGGGCATCTGAAAGCACCAAAGGGTCCCCGAAAAAGCGAGAACGGTTTCGAGCAATTGATATCTGAGTCGAATATTTCTAGATCGACGATTGCCTGGTCGGGATTCTGATCGGGTACAGAGGAGATGAGCTCAAGGGTCATGTCTCGACGTTCAACATCTGCCAACATGTCAGAATAAGCCGATGATAGTTGCATTCAAAGGCGGACCTGTGAAGATCGAGTGGCGGTGCCTGGCTGCATTCGCCGCATTCAACCATCGAATATCCTCCTTGTCATGAATAAAGGTTAGATGAACAATTCCTCCCATCTTGAGGGCTGTTGTTGTGTCTCAGGAAGTTGTAGTTCTGACAAAGGACTCCGAGGCTCCGTTGGGGATAAAGCCCAAATGGGAATGTGATTCCGATATCGACATGGTAGGTATCAACTCCCCGGTCTAACCGAATGACAATTTATTCATTTTATAAGAAGTCCCAAGCGATTTAGAGCGCGGTCTGCATTTAGACTTATGTTCAATCTTCTGGGTCGCAAAAATCAGTAGTTGGATCTGAGAGACCTAATATCGCTCGGAACTTCTTGCCCTCTTGGGCTATTCCCTTCTCACGTTGAGTCTTGATAGTCATTTTCCAACGTTATCTTAAGCTGTAAATAAAGATTACGGACTTAAATACTACTGCTTCGGATTCTAAGTTATACATGCAAGGCGCACTAGCACGTTCACTCGGAAAGACAAGCATTGTTCTACAAATCGTCTATACACATCTAGTAGAGGTTTGATGACAATCTGGCATTGAATCTGCAGGGCAACATAAGTACATAAGTATGGCCAGACGATGCATCCAAGGTCCTGACTTTGGATGCCTGTTTAGGAAAACAACTTGGCGATTCGCAGATTGTTGTAGTCCCAGGCCGTAATATCCTCATATTTGCACGGGGTATCGGGCGTGATAAACTTCTTCATGGGAAGCAAGGAAGCGATACGGTTCGGCTTCGCAAAATAGGCAACAGAATAGCGCTCGGGGATCATCACATCAGAGCCAACTTTGACGGTGGGCGGATAGGTTACCCGGTGACACGCAGCCATGAATGTATCATTGGTCAGGCGCTGAAGCGAGTCGCCGATGTTCAGAATGATCTCGGACTTTCCCCCTGAGATGACATGACGGAAATTCCCCAGATTTTGCTGGTCTTCGACCTGTAAGCCACCAGTGGAGTCTTGAAACAGCATGGTAATTGTTCCAAAGTCGGTATGTTCTGCAATGCGCGTGGCAGTTCCATCTTCTAGAGCAGATGCAGGGACAGCTGGATAATGAAGCAGACGGAATTCATTTTCAGCCTTGTTGTGTAGTAGTTTGAGATCTGATGCCGAAATATCGAGGGCCTTAGCCAACGCATCGAGAATCTCCAATTCGAGCTTGAAGCAGCTTTCATAGAAGTCCTCCATGAATTTTCGGAACCCGTGAAGTTTTTCATCAGCTACCCAGATGTTGTCCACAAGGCTGTCGCTTGGGGAACCCATGTCGAGGGTTTCCTGTTCTCGTTAGAATGGATGTTCACAGCGGACCATGCAGGAAGCACCCACCTTGATATCTCGAACAGACTTCCCTTGAGGGAGGCCTTTATCATAGCCACTAATGGAAGAGACTGATTCCTGGCCGACATAACTATATCCACGGTTGGGGTTTGCCTCAAGCGGGTGTTTGGCAGTCATCTTATCCTCTAGTGAAAGAGAGAAGAATTGACGGGTCTAGTAGAGACAGTCAGTGTGTGTATAACCTCCTCGTTTGTGTCAACTTACATAGTCAAACATTTTCGCAATCAGATCTTCTGGGAGCCCATGGTTTTTAAGCTTGGCCACTCCGCGCGTTTTGAGTGTTCCTAGTAGGGCTGCCGAAACCGCCTCTCTTTCCTCGGGAGACCCTTTCAAGAGGGACAGATCAAGAGCTTGGGGCATGATTTTGAAGATTGGCTTGGAATTATCGTCTGTTATGAGGGTCTTCTCGGCTTTCGAATTATGAATGATAATGGAATGAGTAGAAGAAGAGGCGTACAACACCAGACTATATATATTCGATCACGGATGGGATCTACGAGTGGTAGGTGGCCAAGAAGAACTTCATTGGGAAGGTAATATTGAATACATGAACAGACAGATCAGTAAATTATGGATTACCTTCCATTCTGTTTTCATCTTTCATGATGCGAAGTGTTTGTTCCGAAGATAGTGTAACGCACGCCAAGATTACGCCAACAACGCGTCCCCCAATAAGGAAAACAAACATAGTGGATCACCTTCCTATTTACTTTCTCAAGTACAACATACAACATAGAGATAGGAAAGTGCTGTCGCCTTATCTCGGGGACTGTAGAAGAGTAGAGGTGTTTCATATTTTCTTTTCAGCAGCATGCTCTCCTTTCAACGATTCAGGTGATCTCTGACTAAGGTAGTAGTTATCAACTTTTGTCGAAAATCAAGGTCACGTGCCATGCTTTTTCAGTACCAGAATCCTAAAGTATCATTAACTTTCGTTGAAAATTCAGGTCAAGGACTCAAGCATTTGCTGTCGTTTTTCTCACTTTATCTGCGCTGTCCGGTATCCACACACAATCAGAGGATTCTGCATGACTGTGGGAAAGTTGCCTACGACAGCTAAAAATTCATCCCTTGGATCCCGGTGTACTGCTGAGGACCACTGTCACCTTCCTCTTGCTGTTCCAACTTAATAAACGGCTGTGTGATCTCGGGGCTGCAGAGAGCGAGTGTCCGAAAGTAGGAGTAAAAGTTCATGTAGGCCCGTTTGACGAGGCCTCCCTCAAGGACATTCACCTGCTGCTGAAACAAGACCATAGCTGAATTGTAGCTCAAGGCATTTTCAAGAGCAATGCGATCTTTGTCCACCTCAATGCCTAGAATCAAAAAACTAAGTCTTGGGCTCAAGGTTTGAATAAGGTCTCGGATAACAGTGGCTTCAGATGGTGAAATATTGTGTTGGACCATTTTAACAGCCATATGGTTGTGCCGCCACCTCTGATACATATTTTCCATTGTACCGACTGCCGTGAAGAGCTCCCAATATTTGGGAGGCGATTCAACGGCTGTCAGATCGGTCCAAAGTGTTTTGAAAGTAAGCGAGTTGTCGGAATCGCGAACTGGTCGGTCATGGCTTATCCCAATTACCGTTTCCGTCCTAGCCGGTGATGAGTGCAAAGAGATTGGGAGCGAATCTTGAATTTCATTACCGCTGTCTGGCTTTTTGCGCTTGCGGCAGGTTTTGTTTGTGTGAATCGGCATATCCCCCCACTTAGTTCCAATGACGTTGATAAAATCATTGGTTTTGAATTCGGCATCTGGGGACAACTTCTTCTTCCAGGCCGTGGAAAGCCATTGGTCCCGTTGAATTGCTTCATTTGTGTTGGTGGCGTCGGCGCCGGGACCAATCAAGACGTTGAAGCCAAAGAGAAGACCCATCTTCTGGTATCCAGATACGCTCTGCCCTGCAAGCACAAGACAGTATCCCGAAACATCACTGCAACCCCTGAATAAGATCCCGTAGCACCGGTAAGCAAGTATCCATAGATTCTCCATCAAATTAGAATGGCGGAGAAATATCCTTTTTGGTTCATACTCGAGCAACTGGACATTGAGGACATCAAAAGTCTTCACATGGGACGATGCGACCACCAGACCAGCTTGAAAAAATGGCTGTCCACCTGTGGGGTACCTGTCAGCCAGCAACCATCCAGCATCATTGTATCCCCCCGTGAAGACATATACACCTTTCCACGCGACAAGCGTCCGCTGATTGTCCTGGTAGAAGACAACAGTGGGTGATTTCGGGACTCGTTCTTTGCGTACATCCCCTCGGTCGTCAAAGTCGTAGGCTAGGTGTTGGATGCGATAATCCGCAGGCAAGGTCAAAAGGGCATAGATGACACCTGCATCCAACAAGCGGACGTTCTTGGGATTCCACTTGCACTGGTTGATGTCCACGCCCACTTCTGCTTTAATAGATTTGCGATCAGGGGGATTCGTAGTTTTCCAGGTACGGAGGGAGGCCAGGTCTTCCTGGGGCTTGACAGAATGCCTGGGTTGAATCCAGGGACATCGCACTCTTTCCATTCGACTGGGTTGCTGCATTTATTCTCCAACTCCCGCTGAACCCATCTTTGGCACCTCTGACGCAATTGCGACAGGTCCTTCAGCCAGTCCTCAATGTTTCTTGTGGAAGGGCATGCCATCTCACAAGCCCGGGGCGGGGAAATAGATGGCACCGGCACAGATGTTAGTTGACAGGTGGTTTGTACTTCGAGATATTCCACCAGGTATTGCTGCTTCCAAAAGGGTAGAAGACTGCTGTGAATTGGAAAAACCAGAAACTTTCATAGGCAACGAAGGAGAAAGTGAGACGTTGATGAGGGGGAATACTGATTTTTTAGTGAGGATATGAGAAGTATAGAGAGTCACATAGAGAGAGAACTAATCAGATGTTTGAAGTGTGCTTTGTTGACGAAGTATACAACGCCCAAAAGGGAATCGGGCAGGCCTCGACGGTCATTGGACCAAAGCTGCGCGATGGCCGCTGCGGGATGCCGTAGCCCCCCCCACCACCAACAAACAGCTTCCTGCGCATCTCTTCATTCCTCTCCTCACACTTTTTTTTATTTTCTGCTTTTTTTATTTTCTGCAATACACTGAGCGTTCCATTTTTAAATTCTTTTCGAGACTCCGTACTTGTCATGGATTCCACGGGTCTGGGTAGTGATGGTGCTGCCTACCGGTCTCGTGGGTACCAACTCGAAATGTTAGAGGCCAGCCGCAAGGAAAATATCATTGTTGCGGTATGTTTTTTTCTTCGATGAGGGTTTAGAAGATGCTGACGATTGATAGATGGATACAGGGAGTGGAAAGACTCATATGCATGTTTGGAGGTGACGCTTCCTTTATCGGCACATTTCCCTGACAGTTGCTTTAGTGCCATTCTTCGGATTATAGATGAGCTTGAAAACGCCAGTTCTCCAGACAAAGTGAATAAACTCGTCAATTTGTATATCTGTTCTTGGCTCACATATGTCACAGCTTATTTGGTTTCTTGCCCCGACAGTGGCATTGAGCCTTCAACAACATGAAGTTATCACTAGCCACATCCTCTCTGTGAAAACTAAAGTTCTAACGGGCCTGGATAATGTTGATCGATGGACTGATCAAGGTATCTGGGATAAGGTGCTCAAGGATGTCCGTGTGGTTGTCTCCACATATGCTGTCCTTGCTGATGCTTTGGGTCATGGTTTTGTCCGCATGTCCCGACTTGCTCTACTTATCTTTGATGAGGGTACATACGTGGCACATCTCAAGGTATTCCAGAATTAAACCAACCTAACATCTAATATAGCTCATCATTGCACGAGACGTCATCCGGCGAACAAGATTATGCAAAATCACTACCATCCTACTCTACTGAGGTCAGGCCCAAATGCTGTACCTCGGATCTTGGGACTCACTGCTAGCCCAGTGGTCCGTTCGACCCAAAATGAGCTTGAGTCGGTCCATCTACTACATGATGATAATTATCTCCAGCAACTGACCATGTTCCCCCTAGAATGATCGAATCCAACTTGAACGCAGTATGCAAGACTCCACGTGTCCATCGCACCGAGCTGTTGGAAAACACCCATCGCCCTCATCTCGAGCGACTCAATTACATACACTTTGACGAGGCACAGTATGGCCTTGGAAGTCGACTACTTCCATCTCTCATAGAATGTTGCAGGGCCTATAACATAGACGATGACCCTTGGATCGAATCATTACGGTTAAAGGATCAGATTGTGGAGCTGGTGAAGGCCCTAAATACAGGTAAAACCTTCTGTAGCGAGCAACTGAGGATCTTCGAGGCACGCAGCCGTCACATTTATGAGGAGCTGGGGGGTTGGGCTGCCGACTTTTTCATCAGTGCTTCAATTGATCAACTTCAACTTTCAATCCAAGATGCTAATGAAATGTCACATTTGGACCAAAGAGAGAGAATTTATCTTTTGGAACTGCTGCTTACGATGCCTACGCCAGTTGCAGCCGAGGAGAATAATCACGTATCCATCAAGCTTGAAATACTTCTCAACTACCTCGAAAAAATGGATAGGCCTGGCTTTTCCGGGCTACTATTCGTCAAGCAGAGAGCGACTGTTAGTGTGTTAGCGCGCATTTTATCCCTTCATCCCAAAACCAGAGATCGCTTCCAGTGTGCCGCTTACGTTGGTTGGGCGAGTGATAAAAATCGCAAGGGCTGTCTCGGTGACTTACTTCATCGGGACATGCAACGAAATACTCTCGATGAATTCAAAGCTGGCCGAAAAAACCTCATTGTCGCCACTGATGTTCTCGAAGAAGGGATTGACGTAAGCGCATGCAGTTTGGTCATTTGTTATGACAAGCCTGCAAACCTCAAGTCCTTTGTCCAGCGTCGTGGGCGTGCTCGTCATAGAGAATCTACATATGCTGTCATGATCTCAAATGAGGACGAGCTGTTGAGTCTCCAAAAATGGCAGGAACTAGAGCAAGCTATGATTAAAGCGTACCAGGATGATGAGCGACAGCGTCGTGAAGCTTATGCCATCGAAGATACCGAGGAGCACGTGAATGAGACACTTTGGGTGGAAAAAACGAGGTGAGAGCGATCCAGTGCTTCCCCTTGATATTGGCTGACATCATTTGGCCAGTGCTCTGTTGACGGCAGATGATGCATTGCAGCATTTGCATCACTTTTGCGCTGTTTTACCAGTTGATGAGTATTCCGACAATCGACCAATGTTTTCCTTCCAAGAGAATAGTGTAGGTTTGCTTTTAGGAACGGTCACGCTACCAAATTCGGTGCATCCGACGGTTCGCCGGACAACAGGGAAAGCCTGGTGGCGCACAGAGCGGGCAGCTAGAAAGGAGACTGCATTTCAAGCTTACAAAGCCTTGTATTCGTATGGGTTGGTCAACGACAATCTCTTACCACTAACACGAAAACCAGAGTTGCGGTTCTCGGAACAGATGACGCTCCCATCCATTGTACAAGCTGCTGAGCAGTATGACCCTTATGTAGAACTTGCACAAGGTTGGGCTTCGGGTCAGCTGTGTCAAACACGCTTGAACATATGCAGCAATGGTTCTCCCGATAAAGATCTGGCCGTATGTTTGATTTTGCCAAGATTGACCCCCATGCCACACCCCATTCCCCTCTACTGGGCCCCCGAGACTTCCTTGGAACTCCACTTTGATCCGCAAGTGTCGACTTTCGAGGCGACAGCGGAGACACTCGAACATATGAGAAAGACCACGGCCCTCTATCTACAAGCCCCCAGCTCGCGCCAGCGGGGTGAAGAACGCGACTTCGTGGCTCTCTTCATTCCCGATATTCCACATGAATACTTGGGACAATGGCTTGCGGTGCACGAAGGAAAGGAGCCTGCACTGGAAGTTTACTCGAGGAATCCAACTACGCCGCCTACGGGTATCGTCCGTGACCAGTCCAAATTCAGTGAGCCACGGATATTCAACAGATGGGTCGTTCCGGCCGAGGTGACAAAGACGTCGCCTATTGAAGTGGAATGTTCATCACTTCCACGCCGACGAAATCTCCTCCAGGTACGAACCATCAATATCACTGAAGATGGAGAGGTAGATGCACCAAAGAAGTCCCACGTTCTACCTGCTGCTGCTTGCGTCATCGACAAGCTCCCCGCGAAACAGGCTATGTTTGGACTGTTCATCTCTGCCATTTTGGACCGGCTGGAGGCATCCTTGGTCGCACACCGATTGAACGATACCATTTTGAAAGGAGTTGGCATCCAAAACATAGACCATGTGATTACAGCTATCAGCGCCCCCATTGCGCAGGCTAGTACCAACTATCAGAGATATGAGTTCTTTGGTGACTCTGTTCTCAAATTCACCGTTAGTTGCCAACTATTTTTCCGGAACCCCAAGTGGCACGAGGGGTACCTCTCGGAGAGCCGTGACAAACTCATCCAAAACTCTCGGCTTGCTCGTGCAGCTCTCGATACTGGCGTTGACTGCTTTGTTCTAACAAGCCGGTTTACCCCCCGGAAATGGGCTGCACCGTTGATCAGGAACAAGTTGGACCCCTCGACTGCTAAGAGGAACATGTCAAGCAAGGTCCTGGCAGATGTTGTGGAATCCCTCATTGGTGCAGCGTATGTAGACGGCGGAATTCGGAAAGCGCAGGCCTGTCTCCATCGCTTCTTGCCAGAGATCGATCTCTTCACGAATGAGATTTCGTCCCTCTTCCCCCCACCAGGGAAGGGAGTGAGTAACTTAATCAACCATCACCGATTGGCCGGTCTGATTGGGTACACTTTCAATGATCCTGCCATTCTGACGGAGGCACTCACCCACGCATCCTGCGAGTACGATACATCAACACAATCTTACCAACGCCTCGAGTTCCTCGGAGATGCCGTCCTGGACATGGTGGTCATGGCAGTGATAGCAGCCCACCCCGTAGAAATGGACCAGGGACCAATGACATTGCTCAAACATTCGGTCGTGAATGCCAACCTCCTCGCCTTCTTCTGCATGGAGCTATGCGCACCAGACGAACCTTCCCACATCACCCAATTTGCCAACGGCGAAGTCAGCCTTGTACCACACTATGACCAGATCCACCTCTGGCGCTTCCTCCGCTCCCATGGGCCTAACATCACATCTGCCCGGGAAGCTTGTCTCGAGCGGCACCGGGGTCTCCGTGCTGAGATCTTAGATGCCCTGAGAAACGAAAGTCAGTACCCGTGGGAATTGTTCGCCCGCCTGCGTGCGGATAAATTCCTGTCGGATATCGTCGAGAGTGTTCTTGGGGCGATTTTCATCGACTGCGGGGGCAATTTGGATGTGTGTTACGCGTTCGTTGAACGTATCGGTCTGGTGTGGTACATCCAGCGTGTTATCGCTGACGGGATTAATGTTGTTCATCCGCGGAACACCGCGCAGAACATGGTGAAGGGAGCAGGAACCTTGGTCTTCAAGAGGAAGAGGGTCGAATCTGGAGGCGTGGGTACGTATCGGTGCACAGCAGTGGTCAACAACACCGAGATCGCGCTGGTGGAGGGTTGCGCTTCTGCCGAAGAGGCTGAGGTCAAGGTTGCCAATATTGCTATTGAGTACTTGACATTGCACTCATTGGCTTCTATATGAGGTCGAAACGACGACTTGGGAAATTGACGTGCTCTGAATGAATTTTGGATATTTTCGATTTTGCTTAGATAGATACCATTTGAGAAGTCTTGAATTTTGGACAGCCTTCGGTGAAATCGTAAGCTATGTAGCTAATTAACATGTCCAAATAAATAAAGTAGTAAAATATGGTCGACTCCTATGCCTTGTCTCCCTTCGCACCGCGCTTGGACCGCCGCACAGGGGCCGGCTTAGGTTCCTCTTCCGTTTGGTCCTCCGCGTCAGATCCAATGGAGTCCACTTGTTCCTCCTCACTTGAAGTCACCATCACACCCTCTTCCGTACTCTCGGAGGAATGGGTATCCACGTCAGCCTTCGACACAGGCTCCCATGTCCCCTCAGCTGACCCAGTATCCTGACGCAAACTGCTAAGGATCTTTGTTGTCTCGCTTTCCACGCCATTCCAAGCTCCACAGCTGCAACACCGCCAGCGGCCCAGCTCTTCCGGTGTTTTGATCCCAGGGGGAGCCTGGCCGTTGACGAGCCGACACGCGCTGCAGATCATCGCCATCCGGTTGCGGGGTTGGGTTTCATCCTCTCCCATCAGCACATCCAAAACACGGTCATACCAATTTGGTTGTTCAGTGTATTCGCCGTTCTGGGGGAATGCGTTCGGTGCAAAACTGGGTTGATTGGTGGGTGGTTGAGGAGAGAAAGAAGGTGGGAAAGACGACTGCTGCGGTGTTTGCGGGGCCCGAGGTAGCTCGAGAGGGGGAGAGGGATAATTGGGGGATGGCGGGCTGTTCTGCGATGCAGAGGGAGGACGGCGAATGTTGGCAGTGGGTGGCGGCGGGAGACCAGTACGAGGCACATTCTGTAGCTGCTGTGCGAACTGTCCCTTCTCGGCTTGTCTCTTTGGGCTCGGGGAGGACCTGGGAGACTCACCGCCGTACTTCTCTAGCAGTTGCTGGGTGGAGTTGTACTTGGTTGCGACCTTGAGCTTTTCGATGGTCTCCTCGCGCTGGCTTTGGAAGTCGTCAAGACGGCGTTGCATGCGGGAGATTCGGTAGTCAAAGATTCTGGAGCTGAGAGTGCGCACACCATAGATCCTGAAGAGACAAGAATGTCAGCGATATGGGAACGTGCAGGTTAAGGAAAGACGAACAGGACCGGCCCGCCTATGATGGCTGCATATTCCTTGATTCCCCAGCTCTCCCATCCCAGTACGAGGGCGAGAATTATAGAATAAAACAGATAGGCAAATGTCGAGTAGAGCGTCCACAGAGCCTTGATTCGCCGGGAAGACTGACGTTGCTGGTCGAGTCGCGTGGTGGCTTGGGCGATCTTGGTCGACAGCGTCGACAGTGTCTTCTCAAAAGAAGCTGCAGAATTCTTATCGCCCTGAGTAATATTAGCGACAGTAAATCAAGATAATCAAGTACCGTATATCTCACCTTCCAGGGCCAAAAAGAAACCATTATTCTACATACATAGTATGCCTGTGGACTGGGAAGGAGAAGCTCGACAGTTCCAAATTTAGGAAGGCGATACGCACGGGCCACCTCAGGTCGGCTCCAACTTTGGGGCGTCTACTAGGAAGTCCACTTAAATAGGGGGTCATTGGATTTTGTTTATTTGTTACATTGTGCATGAATATCTCAGATATCATTACATAGATTCCAGCTATTCATTTTTGTTGAGTTGCCCTTTCTATGACTTTCCGAGCTCAGCAGACCGAGCAGTGGCAGCCTGGACAGACTTGTCGACGATCTCTTTAAAGTTGAGAGACTCAAATGTCTGGAGAGCAGCATATGTGGTGCCGTTGGGGCTAGTGACGTTCTTACGCAGTTGAGAAGGGCTGTCCGCGCTCTCAACCAGCATCTTGCCAGCACCAAGACATGTCTGTGTAGCCAACCGAGTGGCTTGTTCCTCAGGGAGGCCTAGAGCAGTTGCACTTGCGATCAAGTGCTCGACCATGGCAAAGAAGTAGGCGGGTCCAGATCCTGATTGGGTCAGATCAATACACATTGATGGCCTTTTACGTAGGAGACTTACCGGACAATCCAGTGACAACATCGAGGAGTTCTTCGCGGTCCACCCACTCAGTAGCCTTGCTAACACTTCCGAGCATAGCATTGACAAGATCCTTCTCATCTGGGGTAATGTCGGCGCCAGCAAAAGCACCCGAAGCACCCTCACCAACCAGGGCAGGGGTGTTGGGCATCACGCGAACAGTGTGGGCCGTACGGCTATCGCTCGTTGTCAACCACCCCTTCAAGCTATCAAGGGTAATACCCGCAGCAATGCTGACGACAACGGGCAAAGTCGCACGCGGCGACCAGGCACCACCGAGCTCCTCGCACACACTCTTGGCAACTTGTGGCTTGACCGCAATGATGACCAAATCGGCATCGCCTCCAGCCTCCACATTGGAAGTGGTGGTGCGCACTCCGAGTGCGGCCATCTTCTCGCGGTTGACATCCCACGGCTCCGAGACGCAGATATTCTGCTTGTTGACGCCCTTGCTCAGCAGACCACCAATGATGGCGGAGGCCATGTTGCCACCGCCAATGAAGGCTAGTTTGCTCTCTTGAATGGAAGGCATTGTATAGATATAGCTGAAAGGGTGCCCAGGTGTCGTACTGTCCAAGTGCGTAGTCGGGGTGTCCCGCACTTATGTAAAAATTTGGTGGGGCACCTGGACCCCCGTTATCGCACCGGCCCGGTGTTCCAAGCGGTTGGAGAAAAGCCGTCTATCTTTTGGTTTCTGTTTTTATTACTCATTAGGTTTCTTCAATACTCTTTATCACCCTCAATTGACAAGGGGAATAATGCAAAATTTACTTGTAGATTGAGAATTATAAACGTGGGGTCGGTTTAGAGACATTAAATGGAATTGAATGCTCTAACTAGCTGTTATGGCTCAGTTACAAATCATAGTATCTCAAAACAAAAGACAAAACAAAAGACAAAAGCTGAAACCGTCATTCGTAACTCGTGATAGTATGTATACAGGGTATCAATCAGTAGATACGTTGCGCGTGGCTTCCACGTCCATCAGTGCCATGCATGCGGCGGGTTCCAGCAGCCTAGTTTTAAGATGTTAGCCCGAGTCCAAGTCAAATAAGAGTCATTTGGTCCTTACCTTGACTGCAGGGCGATGCGTCAAGCTTCCTTTCAGCTTCAACATAGCGCCGGAGACCTTGTCGCCAAGGGAGGGTTTGCGCTGATGGCGAGTATGGGTAGATTTTCCATAGGCATTTCGATGACCAAAACGACTCCCAGTAGGACCAGTACGACCAGTATGGCCAGTACGACCAGTATGGCCAGTATGGCCAGTATGATGATGGCCTTGGATGGGGTTCTGCTTCGTTGTTGTTATGGTTTTGACGGAGCGCGAGTTCGCGTTTCGCCCCTTGAGTCTGGTCATCAGCGTAGGCTTTGTGGTGCGGGTGGTTGTGGTAGCCGGGCGACGTCGATGAAACATGGTGATGGATAGATGGATGTTGTATGTAGTTTAAATGTTTGGCATGGAATGTATATTGTATACAAGTGTGTTAGGTTGGTTTGTATTTGCAGTTAGGTGGAAATCAACGTCTTTAAATAAGCTGCAGAGATGGCCTTGGGATGGCTTAATGTCAAGCAAAACGTACGCCAAGTGCCATGTCGCCTTCAAAGATAGCATACAGGAGACGTTGACAAAGAGGCGCTCAGCCGGCGCGTCATCCGAAGGACGATCTTCTCTGGGAGTCTGCAGTTAACTTGCACAGGGCAGGAGACAAAAATGCCACCAAAAATAACAATACATGTTATTGGTATAAGATAGATCGTCCTTGCAGATCAAAAAGTTAGACAGGGATATATTTTCTGAATATGTCTTAATGACGATGAAGGCAGGATGAACGACCTTGGAAGATGACGAGTTGAAGTTGTACAAACGTACTCGTGTTGTGAAATGGAGTACAAAGGTGTATAGCGGCCAACAGTCGGGTGCCTGATTTTAATGGTTTTATGGCCTAATTAGGACTAGCTCCTACCAGTTTTAGACCGGCAGGAAATTAGAATATTTGAATTACCATGACAGATCTCCTACAAAGTTCTTGAGAACGCCCCCTCAAATATAACTCCGTATTTTTGATCGATCTTAGGCGCTGAGGCCCTCCAACCATATGAATCTCGCACTTTCTCAGAGAAAAGCTGATGGCGCTACTGACACTAAGGCCCAAAACGTCTGGAAAGCCAAGCCTGGATTTCAACACAAAGTGCCCATTCCTACCGGCTGTATAAACTTCAAACTCTCCTTACTCCGGTGTGGCGAAGTGCCCTCAGGCGGGTTGCGCTTTCGATAACTGCGATAGGAGGCGGTGATCGGAAACTTTAATGCGTACTTACAAAAGATGGTATTGAGCGGTGTCAAAGGCGGTCTAAAACTGCTAGGAGCTAGTCCCAATTAGGCCATAAAACCATTAAAATCAGGCATCCGACTGTTGGCCGCTATACACCTGCGTAAATGGAGGATGATGTCATATGATATTGGTCTGTGCGCCTGCCAAGACATCGTTGTACGCCTTGGGGAAGATCAGATGATGTATTCATGCTAAGCTACCTAGGGATAGGAGGTCGCCTCAGGTTACTCAGCCGACCGACCTAAACTGCTTAGCCTGCATCGCTCTAAGTTGTCCCATCATAGTAATCGACCTTTCGGATGTCTTTGACGATTGCTCGCTTCACGTCCTTATTCATGCTAAGCCCAATTGCGTTGCGGCTTGGGTTCGTGAATGACATCCGACAGGTCGACAGCTACGACGGTACAATCCAAGGCGACGCAGCTCGCAATCAATCCCCTGGGAGGCCATCGCTTGTGGGATCGTCTGCAAGGTTGTTCGACAGGTTACAGGAGTAGACACAGCCCGAGTCAGGGCATATCAACATCTTGTTTTCGATCGTCCCCAGCCCGGCTGTGGTAGAGATGTAACGCCAGGCCTTGTAGGCTTGGCCTGTGTCAGAGTGGTATGTTTCCGGTCTGATTCGATGATCGCCTTAAAAGTCACTTGCACCGCTGTCAGGAGGAGCTAAAGCCTAAGAACGATCGCGGATCTGCGCAATAGCCTAATAACTCTGCTTATATATTCCAGCTTATCCCATCTGTCACATAAACCGCACCTGTTCAAAACAGAACAATTAGCCATAGATCATGCAATGTTATCGCAAATTAAAAATAACAATTTCAGTAACTCAGAGACCAATATGAAACAATGTAGATAGACACGGATTCAACACATTCTTTGCAGAAAGGGAAGAGGTCAATCATCATAGAGACTGTATATGTTGTGGTTTGCGAGGGGGAGGACCTGAATAGTTACCTGGACCAGTCGGAGTATTCCCCCCAGTGGGGACGATTGGTGGCGGCGGGAACTACCATGTGTTTGTATTAGCCAGCGAGTTAGGTTAGGTTCTGTGTCAAAGCGAATGGGTTTTTCTTTTCAAGTGACAACGATCGCTATTTGTTATTCACAGACGTGGTGGGGAGAGGAATGAATGGCTTCCTCCATATTCGTCTTGAAATGAGTGATAATGAGCCAGAAATGATTCAAAAAGGTTGTGGTGAATTCCTATTGCCTCAAGGTGGTTTGGAGGTTAAATCCCGAATTCCCCTGAGTGGTGTTAAATATCTGTCTCTGGGCAGGGCTAGGGCATCGGCCCTATTTCAGAAATTTACGAGTAAGGAGAGATTATATGGAGAATGTCGTCATTGAACCGTGCGACGACGGTGTACCCACCTATAAGTATGTAAGGGCCCATATGATAACAAGGTAAGGTGTATGTATACACAAGTGTTGAGTCAATCTGGCAAAAGAAGACCATGATTGAGGCGTGATCCTGTCCATAGTCCTCGATTATGCCTTTTTCCAGCGGCTACCTTATATTGCCTAAGATGTCTATTCAACATCAAATAAAACATTATATGCGCCGAGATCCGTCTGGTTGACGAGATACTCTGCATCGAGATGCCTAAATAACATTTGATTGTAGTTGTTTTGACCATTAAGCTTGACTGGGAGCTCTTATTGGAATGCGGCTAAAATAGGAAAGCCCCACCCGGGAAGGAAAATATGGCGGAGTGACCTAAGTACGAGTTGGATTCATATTTCGACATGGACATTTTCATTAACTACCTAGTTTAAGCTGTGGGAGTTCTTACAAATATCGTCGATATTGACAGGGTGAGATAATCCGAAACTCAAAGCAGGCATACATATATGCACTTCTATATACGTCAGGCGTGGCCCTGATGTGTGAAGTGCTTATTCACAAGCTCAGGTACCGTGCTCGACTCCCGTGGTCAGCGTGATGCAGAAATTATACGCCGACATCTCTCCGAGGGTTATCCACTTCCTAGTACGGAGTCGAGGGAAAAATCCCAGGCCCAGACCCCCCGCACTCTGCCAAGACGCAACGTTTGAGATAAGATCACCATATGACTGTCAAAAAAAGGAAATGCACTACAAAGATCGTCCAAAATAAAGCCGTCCGGAGATAGCAATGGGGCAGATAAATGCAGTGAAATCTGAATACGGAAGTATAAGGTTGACCTTGAGAGGCAATGTTCGGAGGTACAGTACTTTGGGCAACCAATTGCGACTTCAGAAGGACAACGGACACACTATTTTATCCTCCAACGCGCATCGACTAACTACTTTAGGTCTGTATGCCGCCGGCTGCAATTCTCAACAAGCTTGTATCGTATTCTCAACACATATCACATGATTTATGATATTACCATGCCACCATCCATAAGTACCTTTCTATATTTAGTGGATACTTGACAGAGGATAAAAAGGTGTGTCCGTAGTCCTTTCAAGTCGCAATTGGTGATCTGTTCACTACTCTGGTCACAGTCCCCTAGTATTGAAAGTTAAAGCTGCTTAAAATGACAACGGACGCCAAAATATTGGATTTTTCGGTAAGTCTTTCTACAAGTGCCATGGCATTGATCCTCCGACTTATCATTGCTGAAATAGACATTCCATAATGTGATCAATAATCAATTGACCACAACAACAGAAACCCGGCATGGGATCAACCCTGCCAACACTCAGCCGAATCCACCCGTACCAGTTTCGACCCAGGATGACCTTGACAAATCTGTCAAGGCAGCTCAAGATGCTTTCAAGAGCTGGGCCAAGACCTCTTTTGAAGAGCGACGTAAAGCCCTGCATGCCTGGGCCGATGCCATTGACGCTAATGCCGATGGATTCGCACAAACCCTCACAATGGAACAAGGAAAACCATTGACTCAATCATCTGTGGAGGTGAATATGGCAGGTGTATGGATTCGTGGTCTCACCGCTATTGAGATTGCCGACAATGTCATCGAGGAAACCGAAGACAGGAAGATTGTTCAACGCCATACACCCATTGGCGTGGTGGGTGCCATTGTCCCCTGGAACTTCCCTATCCTTCTGGCTGTCGGCAAAATAACCTCTGCGGTATACACCGGAAACACCGTTATTGTGAAGCCGTCTCCTTTCACACCTTACTGCAACTTGAAGCTGGCCGAGCTTGCCGCCAACTTCCTCCCTCCTGGTGTGATCCAATGCCTGAGCGGCGATGAGTCCCTCGGCCCGTTGTTCACTGCTCACCCTCGAATTCAGAAAATAAGCTTCACTGGATCAACTCTCACTGGAAAGCGGGTTATGGCTGCATGTGCTACAACTCTCAAACGAGTTACCCTGGAACTGGGTGGCAATGACCCGGCAATTCTCTGCGACGACGTTGATATTGACGTTATTATCCCCAAGATTGGAATTCTTTCTTATCTGTGTAGCTCGCAGGTCTGCATGATGATCAAGCGACTTTATGTCCACGAGAAGATCTACGACGAGTTTTTGGAGAAATTAGTCACGTTTGTCAAGACTCTGAAAGTCGGCGAGGGCACCGATGCAGATACCTTCTTTGGACCTGTTCAAAATCAGATGCAATATGACAAAGCCAGAAACCTATTCAGCAGTATTGATACTGAAAAACTGAAAGTTGCGCTTGGAGGCTCGATCGAGAAGTCTTCCGGGTACTTCATCCACCCGACCATCATCGACAATCCCCCGGAGACATCGCGCGTGGTACAGGAAGAGCCATTTGCTCCCATACTGCCCATCCTAAAATGGTCTGACGAGAAAGACGTCCTCGAGCGTGCGAATGCCTTGGATTCCGGATTGGGCTCTTCTGTCTGGAGTAAGGATTTCGAACGCGCAACTCGCATGGCAGATCAACTCCAGTCCGGTTGTGTGTGGGTAAACAGCCACTTTGACGCCGCGCCCAATGCACCCTTTGGTGGCCACAAGCAGAGCGGCATCGGCGTGGAATGGGGTCTTGATGGTCTGCTTGGGTATTGCAATTCGCAGACTCAGTGGTTGAAGAAGAGTTTCTAGTTTCTAGTTTAGTGGCTTGTTTTGGATAAGACAGTTAAATGTCAACACCCCAAAATTT